CAATAACCTCCCACCAGGCCCCTTCCACAACACATGGAAATTATGGGAGCTACAAGATGAGATTTGGGTGGGGACACAGAGTCAAACCATATTAGTATGTGTTTTTATTTCTATGTTAATCTTCAATGTCTAGTCTAATAGCCACTGTGATTTCAAAATATTACCTAGCATAAATTATATATATATATATATATATATATATATATATATTTATTTATTTATTTTTTTTTTTGAGACAGAGCCGTGCTCTCTTGCCAGACTGTAGTGTAGTGGTGCAATCTTGGCTCACTGAAACCTCCACCTCCCAGGTTGAAGTGATTCTTCTGCCTCAGCCTCCCGAGTAGCTAGAACTACAGGCGTGTGCCACCACGCCCAGCTATTTTTTTTTTTTTTAATTTTTAGTAGAGACAGGATTTCGCTGTGTTGACAAGGATGGTCTCAATCTCTTGACCTCGTGATCCACCTGCCTCAGCCTCCCAAAGTGCTGGGATTACAGACATGAGCCACCACACCCAGCAATAAATTGTATTTTAAGATCTGCAGCTACTACAATGTGATATGGAAATGTTTTTTGTTTCTGCTGGTGACAAAGAGGTGCTGCTGATATTATTAACCAGGTTTTTTTTCTGCTATGTTCCTAATTGACAGTGATGCTAAGTTTCAGTTAGAAGTTAGTGAAAATAAACATGTGACATTTTTTCCCCAAACTTGAGTTTATTATCTCCCGATTTCATGTTTGAAGGTGATTTAATGATACTCGATATTCTAAGGTCTCATTTTATTTTTAGTTTACTTATGATGGAAGCCTGTTTTAGGATTCCTTGTAACTTTTATTATTAGTGCCTTATTTTACCAGTTGGTCATTCAGGAGATAAATATTTACTGCGTTCATGTTTTGGGTTTGGAGTGGGAGTAGAGAGGGGAAAGTGATGAGGATACTGAATTGAGTAAGTGACTGTTCCGCCCCTTAGGTAGTTTGCAAAATACTTCTTTTGTTTATTTTTTAATAAACCAAGATAAATTTTTTGAAACCTGATAAAGGTTTCAGTTTTCGAGTTTTGCATAGTTGCTTATACCTTAAGATTCGGGAAACACTGAGAAAATCCCTGTCTTGCCTGATCTTGAATTGCCTGAAGCTGTCACTTTCCTGGGTCCTTTCCCTGGAGAATGTTTTAGGATGTTCCCAGGAGTGGTCCAGGGACAAATCTCTTTTAAAAAATTTGCCAGGTGGGTTTTTACACATCAGCCAAAACGTAGAAAAGCTTAGCCGGATAATACTTTAACATGTACATGGAAGCACTTAGACTAGTCATACCTGTGACTGTTTTCATGAGAAGGGATCATGTTACTGATGTCTTCATTTCCAAGAAGAATGTTTTCTACACTAAGGCAGCTTTATATAGAAAGGGCTGACATGAGACATTTTCTCTGAGGAAAAGGGGTTTGGTTTTCATTTCATCTCTCCTATGAATATCGTAACCCTATTTTGTGAACCCAAAGTCTGATTTATTAACTTTTTGTGGGCAGAAATATTTATGTAGAGATTAAATTCTTTAATATATGTAACACACCACCTATGGAAATATAAAATTATGTGAAGAAGAGATATATACTAAAAGATGATAATTTAGTTTTATTATTGCAGATAGTGACCTGCTAATGTTGAGGTACTGGGGAAAGTACTTGCATGCATATTTATTCTTTAGGAATAAATATCGTTCGAAAACAACTACCCTATGAGGTAGATGTTGTGATCTCCGTTTTGTGTTTGAGGAAATTGAGGCTTGAAGCCAAAAAATGTGCCTAAGTTACAGAGTTAATGCAAAACCAGAATTTGACAGCATGTATTTCTGAATCCAAAGTTTATATATGTGGCCGTAGTAGCCGAATCTTTGTCTAAAACCTGGCAGTGAATACTGTAACATATCATGGGGTGAGTGGGGTGTTGTGTGTTGTGCTCATGCACCCCCATACATTTTTCTCATTGTCTGATGGCATTTTCCACCTTTTTGAGTCTGCTTCTTGGTCCACCCAGCCCTCCTCCTTAAGCGTCAAACCAAGAATTTGGTTATTTTTATTATTTACTTTTATTTTTATTTTATTATTTTTATTGTTTACTGTATTTACAAGTTTGGTTTACTATTTCTTTGTAACTCATAATGTAGATCATTAATTTGTGTTTCTTTTAAGTCATTTTTTGTTTTTTTACTTAGGAATTTATGATGCTATATCCCACCTACCATTTAAGTACTCATTAGAGATACTTATTCAAGTAAAAATAATTGTACTAAAAATAATATAACTTGTGATCATTTAAGATGATCACAGCATGGAGAGAAAGGAGGCAAGCAATGGGCGTTACCAGTCAGCAGATATTTAGTACTTACTGGTTGCCTAAAACTGCCAAGAACCCTGGAAGATATGAATAATACGGTCTCTTCCACCCCTTGCAAAGCTGTAGTGCTAGGGATTGAGAAGACAGCCTAATGCTTGGCAAGAATGGAGCTTAACAGTGTGAACGTGAAGGTGTTTAGAAAAGAGAAAACCAGGTGAGGAAATCATGCTGCTATTTGATCACATCAGGTAAACTCCACCCACTTAGTCGTTGGGTAGGGTTGAAAGTAAGCCATTTCAGCCTTCAGTAATCTCTCTGGCAGTGTTGTGGAAAGTGGTCTGAGAATGACACGAAGTCTAAATTTGGCTGGCAGACTTTTCACTCATATTACTGGGCTTTTAGAGCTCTCCTGACTCTCACCATGGCCTGCAGAAACTGTTAGGTAATTTGTACAAGGGCTCGGTGCTTTAGGTGAGAATAGAAGGTGCCAGGTGGTTGAGACACAGGGTTAGTCCTTGAGATCGCAAGCTTCCACCATCCTCTCCTGGAACAGAGAAGGGTCCTTTGTTGCTCTTCTGTGCTGGGATCTATACCAATGCTCACACTTAATGGAACAGGGCATTTGGAAGGGTCTGTCTTTAAGACCAGCACTGTCTCCTCTACTCTCTTCTTTCTCTGTGTTAATGTTCTGGGGATTTTTTTTTCTTTTCTTTTCAATTTGGCACCATCTGATTCTGTTTTTCTTGCTATGGTTGTTCCTTGGGTAGAAATTCCACCCATTTGCTTTCTCACCGCTCTCCCAGCCTCCAACCAGTCTGGGCTAGAGGCTGAATGATGTGTTTTTTCATTCTTATGCACTCATCAAGGCTGGCCATTTGTGAGCCAGCTGTTGGGTGGGACAGCAGCTGCAGTGCATGCAAACTGAATGGCAGACTGTTTTCCCAAGGGAGAATTAGAGCTGCTCCCTCACATGGCACTGGAGGCCCCCTTAGAGAGGCCTGCTGCCCCTCACATGAGTAGTACATGCAGCTGGGATACCAGTAATACGAAACTAGACCATGCTCTGGCAGTTCTTTATGGAGAGGTTTGAATATAACCAGTGTTAGAACAGAACCATGCACACCTTGGATCCTTGCTGCCCTGAGTGCAGGCCATGAACAGTCGTGAAACCCGAGGGGGCCGTGCAGCTCTGCTTTCACAGCATCTTACTCTTTTACTTTTTAATAGTATCAGTTTTACCATTTTAATATGTTATTAAGACAGCAAGTTATTTTCTATGTACTACGCATTTTAATTGTTTGCTTTATATATCTGAATAAAATTCTGTGTAAGTACAGATGTTACAATACGGCGGTCCCCAACCTTTTTGGCACCAGGGACTGGTTTTGTGGAAGGTAGTTTTTCCACAGACCGGGGCGGGGGTAAGGGAATGCTTTCGGGATGAAACTGCTCCACTTCAGATCATCAGGCATTAGTTGGAAGAGTCTCATAAGGAGCGTACAGCCTGGATCCCTCTCTTGTGCAGTTCACAGTAGGGTACTCTGAGAATCTGTGCTCCTCTGAGAATCTAATGCCAGTGGTGATCTGAGACGAGGCAGCGCTCAGGCGGTAATGCTCACTTAGCTGCTGTTCATGTCCTGCTGTGCAGCCCAGTTCCTAACAGGCCACGATCAGTACCAGTCCATGGGATGGGGCTGAGGACCCCTGTTATATTATTTTGGATACTGCTTAGAATGAATAAAACTAAGTAGAGTTATTTATTTGAATTAGTTTATTGTCTCTCGAAAAATGCACTATGTTAGTGATAACTTGAGGATAGAAAAATGTAAATATAAAAATATAAACAAAAAAACCTCAGTTTTTTTGGATTGATCTTTTGCTGATAGCTTTGAAAAACAAAAATTTCATGTCCTTGGGTGGTTCAAACCTACTGGTTTAAATTTGGTCTTTTTTGCTTTAAGATATTTTAATAGCTTCCTAGCATTTTTCTGAAAGCTTTCTGAAGGAGCAGACATGAGAGGAAAGTGAAAGGGAATTCCTTGTGATTGTTACCTCCAACTTAGAATGAGGTTAAGAAAAAAGAGGGATGTTATATTAAGACCAGGAAGGGAATTATTGTCTCCAATCTGACCTTACCTCTCCTTACAATTACACAGTTGGAGGGAAAAGGAAGATTAAGGAAGAGAAGTAGTTGGCTTTAGGAGTTGAGATAATTGTGTTTGATTGGTATATATATACTTTTAGCCAACAGTTTCCATTTTCACACTTTATCCTTCATGATTAAGAACCCATTTTTGCCCTTGAGGAGCTCCCATTTCAGTGTCTGCAGGGGCTATTAGTTGGCAGTTCTGCTATTGAATAAAAACTACCTGAATATTATGTCTCATCATTTGGACCATTTTAGATGCAAGAGAATGAGGCCCATGAGACCTACCTTAAAAGCGTTTGAATATTGTATTTATAATACACACTTAACACATTTACACACATATATACTTAAAAACAAAGCAATACTTAGCCCAGTGGAATGCCAATAGGTGAAAGTTGCTTTGAATAGGACTTTGTTAAAATGTGTTTATACTTGCATAAGTATGTAAACTGTGAACTGTTCTATTTTAGACTCTAGAGTATATTTCTTATGAGTTAATTTTTTTCCCTCATGCAGAACTGGCTAGATCCTGCAAAAGAAATAAAGAGACAACTGAGAAGTAAGTATTTATATAATCATACTTTGAAGTTAAGGTAATCTTGATATCTATTTGTGAGATAAATGGTCAGTGACAGAATGGTCAGTTCTATTGTGCATTTATGCTGTCTTAGAAGTTAATAGTACTAATAATATTTTTGTGGAATTGTGACTGTTTTGTACATGGCTCAGGGGCTTCTACTTTTGCGAAGGTTCTAGACTCACATTCCTGAATACTCACTCAAATTGTCCTATGAAGTAATATATGACCTTTTTTAGAGGGAAATGAAAGAGAAGCTACTTTTCTGTAAATTTTACTCTCGGTGTAAATTTTACCCCACTGAGACCTGCTACTGCTGCTTTGCCTGCTTCATTTTGAAAGTGTACAATCAGTTCAATATGCACATCTTTGGCCACAGAGACATATAGAGACACTGTTCCTGGATGTACTGGAGTGAGGACTGGGGAACAATCTTTTCAGTTCTCTGAGGTCACTGGCATCTCTACAATCAAGGCTTGTAGTTAGGCCTCATCGTTCCTTTTTTCCCCTTTCCCCATTTGTTCTTGTTGTAGAATCCCAAAACCACCTCAAGGGTCCCACTCTAACTGGCTTCAGTTCCCTCTCTAGGTTCTGCCTCTGCAGGTTGTGTTGCCTGTGGCTGGTTTTTTGGTATCTGTGCCAAGAAACATGATCAACCAAGAGAAACCTCTGTTAGCGGATCTGGATACTTAATTGACTTCAGGGTCTGTGAATGACTGAAGTAGAGAAGGTAGGCAGCTACAGGTAGTTGGAATTTTCGGTCTGGAGAATAAAATCTGAAGGCTGGTAAATTCCTAACCGCCCTCCTTGACGGTGGACCTCAGAGTTGTCCCAGGAGAAACCACTTCTCCAGGTGCCAGCCTGCAAGATGCCCTTTGTACTGTTGATTTCATTTCTCTACTTATTATTCCCAAGGTCAAACTGCAACAGATCTGTACTTTCCCTTCTGCCCTTTTCATCTACCATCTAACTCCTACTTTAGGTTCTCCACATTGGTTTTCTTCATTTCTTTCTTTCGCTCTTGGATTATTTAACTTTTTGGTAGTCTTCCTTTCATTTCTTTGCTTTCCTACTCTCTTTTTTAATTCTGAGCATATACCTTATTTTTCCCATTTCCTCTCCCTGTAGACTTACCTTTCTTTTCCTTTTTTAAAATGCCTTTAATTAGACAGACCAACCTCCTGATTTGCCCAGGGCTGAGGGGCTTCTCGGGATATGAGACTTGAAGTGCCAGAGTTGGAACCAGTTCCAGGCAGGTAGCATAGTTGGTCACTCTCTCCTTTGATTATTATTCCTGAGTTTCCTGCATTCTCTTGTATTTATTTTCTTGGTGTTTCATCCATTTATGGTTGCTTCATGATGGGAAAGGGAGAAAAAGAAGAGGAATAAGTAGACACCAGATACATTATGCTTGCATTATGGAAGAAACTGTACCAGAGTTTTGGACTTTTTCCTTTGTCCCTTCTGCAGTTGTTACTTTGCAAAGTGCATGCATTCAGAAAGGTTACGCATGCTTAGTTCTTGCACTGTGAAATCTGACCTGCCAGGTGACCCATGCAGAGAGAGAACAGGGCAACCTCTGAAATATGATTGATGTTCCATTGAGTTGTTTCCTGTGGTTTTGTTTGGGATCTTGTTTGATTATTTTTTTGTGTGTGTGCCACTCTTTTCAGAGTCATGGAGATTTCCTAACTTTTGGAGGCCAAATCTCTTGCTGATTACAAATACGTTCTTATGTTTTGATTATCTGTGAAGTTTTAAAAACTTATTTCAGAACTTTTATCCTTGTGGTTTGGCAAGATGAATAACAGTAAGATTCGACTTTTAAAAACTATTGGAACTAGTTCTTTAAATGGAATCATGTACTGTAGCCATCATGAGAGTAGGCTGAGGAAATGAAGCTTTAGCAGTTGTATCTACCTCTTTTCTTCCTGTATGAAAATGGACAAAAAAACCTGCCTGTTCTATCCCTGGTCTCTGCTATGATTTTATTTTCATTTTTCAGCTTATAGGCAGTTAGCAAAGATAAATATTCATCTTTTTTGAGTTGCCTATGACAACCTATAACTTAATGGTTCTTGTTTAAAATTTGCCTTAAACAATCTGTAGCTAGAAGATTGTTTATAAATAGCAAGGTAAAAATTATGATGATGATAATGTGTAATTAAATTTAAAAAGTTTAACTTGAAAACTGCTAAGGAAGTAGACTTTAAGTGCTCTTACCAAGAAAATAGTATGTAAAGAGTAATGCATATGTTAATTAGCTTAATTTAGCCATTCGCCAATATATACTTATTATAAAACATATTGTATACTATAAATATGTACCATTTTTATTTGTCAGTTTAAGAAACCTTAGCGTTATTGGTACATTTTAACACCTTTTAGATTTGGAAGTATATTTGAAAATATGTAGCCTATTAGAAATGTATCTCTGAGTCCTGTCCAGGCAACTATGAACAAGGAGCCATTAAGAAATGATAATCCTGTGATGACTTTGCTTAATTATGGATAAGCAGTCACCTCGAAGAAATGTTTATACAAACACAATGCATGGATATTTGACAGCAAATATCAGCCAAGAAACCTATCTCTTGATATTGAGGAAAATCTTATATCCCATTATTATGTTTTAAAAATGTAAAGTAGAACTGAAATCCACTGCTTAAGTTCAGCAGGATTGACTTCATTGGCAGAATGGTGATGTATTGGGCCAAAATCCAGCAAAAATGCATGTGTATATGGCAGTAGCCATTTAATAAATATTTGAGTGAGGGAAAAGGTACTGTGCTGACGGTAAGACAAAGGACAAAATGGATTCAAGGAATTTTTCTTCAAGTCTATAAGTTAAACATCTCATGAGGTCTTTAAATATGTATGGAATGGAATAACTTGGCTGGGTGTAGTGGTTCATGCCTGTAATCCCAGCACTTTGGGAGGCTAAGGTGGGAAGATTGCTTAAGCCCAGGGATTTGAGACAAGCCTGGCAACACAGGGAGACCTGGCCTCTGAAAGAGTGAAAAATAAGTAAGCCGGACATCGTGGCACATGCCAGCTACTTGGGAGGCTAAGATGGGAGGATCCCTTGGGCCCAGGGAGTCAAAGTTGCAGTGAGCTACAATCGTGCCACGGTGCTGCACCCTGGGTGACAGAGTGAGACTCTGTCTCAAAAAAACCAAAAAAACAAAAACCTAGAATGCAATAATTTATATGCGTGTATATATATATATATGTATGTATATGTGTATAATACATATATATTTATATGTGTATAATTTATATAATGCAATAATTTATATATATATACACACAAATTTTTGCATTCTGCGTGTATATATATACACATAAATTATTGCATTTATATATATATATACACACATAAATTATCGCATTCTGTGTGTGTATATATATATACACACACACACACTATTTTTGTAAGTTAAAAAATTATGAACTTTAAGTGGAACTCTAAATTCAGGCTAGTGGAATTATTTGGATCACTTGAGGAAAATAATACCTGCTCTTTCCCCCATAGTTTTACATTTTTAAAGCTATCCTACACGTGCTCTATCAAAATAGTTAAATTTTAATGTATAAATATCAATATTTTAACTTTTAACAAGTCATTTATGATATGGTTGCTTGACTTATTCATTCTTTATGGAACAGTACAGCAAAGTGTATGTTATATACAGGTAAACTTAGACCTACTCTATAAAACCTGGGAAATTATTGTCCTAAAGTATTGTGAAATTGTACCATGCTTTCCCTTCTTGGGATCTCTTTTAACACGTTCTTCAAATAGCCCATTAATAATTTTTGAATAGCTATTACTTCTTGATCATTACTCTCCTTCCCTACAACAATGTAGAAATCCTGAATTTTTTTTTTTTTAAAAAGGGTAGAAAATATTTAGCAACAAAAGATCCTCAGAACTATTACGTGGGGATTATATTAAAATTTTTGTATAATAGATCACTGTAGAAAACACCTGTTGAGGCACCAGTAAATGTTTATAAGAAAGAGAACCTGTTATTCTTTAATGGTGGCTTCTTTATGTAATTGATTTTATTTTCGTTTTCCTTTCATTTTTATTTTATAAGTGATATTAATTTTATTTAAATAAAATGTAAAATTCTGCACATTGATTTATAGTTGGATTAGTCTACACTGTTTGATCCTTGACCTTTAAATGTTATCACAATAGTCATTCTTCTGTTAATTGGGTGCATAACTGTGATGTTTAATAATTACAGACCTTCCCTGGCTATTCACTTTTAATGTGAAGTTTTATCCTCCTGATCCTTCTCAACTGACTGAAGATATCACCAGGTACTTTATATTTGCGTTTTAGAATGAGCCTTTCCTTACAGCTCTCGTTTGTTTCTGTGCCCTGGGAGCATAGTGGTAATTTCAGGATTGAAAACCAAAGCAGTTTTCTTAAGTTTTAGAAGTTTCCTGGAAAATGGGTACATCCAAATAGTTTGAAATGTTGCCAGTTTCAAAAATTTTATTCACTTTCTTTAATTTTTTTATTATATTCTAGTAATGAAAATTTTAAAAATGATAACTGCTGACAACTTTGTTTTCTATGTTATACTTTTAAAAGTCACTAATATTTAATATTTGAGATTTTAATACTAAGGTCATTTTTGTTGTATATAACTCATGTGTGTCTATATACTAGTCTGATACTACACAGATGATATGAGGTTAGAAAAATGAAATTATTTTAAAAGGCCAATTGAACTGGTAATTTTTTTTTCTCTTCTCCTTCCAGAACCAAACAAGATAGGATTTCTTATGTAGAGTCAATAGCTAGTTCACTTCCATCTGCTCCAAGATTGTGTGAGCTATAAGAACATACACTTAAATTGCAAAGAAAGGATTCTGTTTAGGAGCAAGAGAATATTTATTGATTCTAAGTACTTGAATGGCAACCAAAAAACATTATTGTGAATCAAAAAGTACCTTGAAATCTTAGCCCGATTAGACTGGGTACCAGGGATAGCATTTCTCAGCTTTGGTAAGAGGCAGTATAAAGGGTGATTTTTTTTTAAAAGGATAATTTTTATATTCCATATTTTAAAAAGGTTACTTAAATGGCCAAGTACAACTGTGTGCAGTGTATGACGTTTAGAAAACTAGAGGGGCTTAGAAAAAGAGTCTGCTTGTCTTCAGTTCCTGTATCTTTGATGCTTTCTGCTAAGCCAGTTTTGTTGTCAGATACCAAATTGTAGAGGTGCTTAAGAGTGCATATTAATGTGAAATAGGAAGGATGGAGATTTCTTTCCAATATTGGTACATAGCAGTACATAGCAGCCTTTTGTTTTGTTTTAACTACTTATTGCTGAATAGGAATGTACTAATTAAGTTCCGAATGAATTAGATTCACCTAGTAAATAATAAATAGTAGCTTTTGTAACTGCACAGTGAGCTACTTAGAGCATAAAACCTGACCGGATGGCGTGTGTAGGATGTAGAGCTTCACTGCAGATGTGCCTCTGAACAATGCATGTCACTGGGGCTTTGTGACCCCACACACTCTGTATATATACTCCTCCTTGCAGTAATTTGTTTGGGGAACGATAATCCTTTGGTGATTGCAAGTTTGTAGCATCAGTAAGTACTTTGGTTTTCCATATAAATGGATCTTGAACAGTCTCCCTGTCTGTAGTGGAAGGAACAATATAGTCTGCTCAACAAACTAGAGGTCTCAGTGGTGCAGCCTGAGACCAGCCACCTGCCTGTACTTGTGGCCTGGCAGCTTAAATGTCATGATTGAAATCTTCACCATGACTTGAGTGACTGTTTAGAAGGTGGGGTAGGCTTTTGAGAAGAGCAAGAATACTATTTAGAATAATGTTTGAAGAATGCTTCGTAGTGCTGTGTGAAGATGCAGTTTGGTAATTCAGGGAGCTCTTGCCATTTTTTGTTAGAAGTTTCTAGGGTTTCGACTTAGGCTTTGAAAACAGAGGAAAGGACTAATGTGAAAAGCAGAGACAATAATATGAAAGGAAGTGACAGGATGGAATCTTTGTGTTCAGGTTCTAAAACTGCCATAAAATGTGGAGAACTATCACTATTGTTAATTAGAGTATTTAAAGATAACCTGGATCCATGGTTTAAAATTTAGTTTTCTGAAGTATGTACAGTTATGCTCATGTTGTTCTATGGGTCGAGGAAACATATAATCCTCCTTAAAAAGAGAATTTCTGCAAGGCATAAAATACTCAACATATTGTAGTGATAGTCAAAAGACTTTGAATCTCTCAATTGCCGAGAACTTGTCATGTGGCAAGCACTCTACTCACTGTGGGACTATGGTGATGATAGAGTCCCTGCTCTGCCTGATGATATATTTGGAGGTAAGCCAGGTGTAACTGAACTGAACTGGCCCCATGTGCTGGATTGTGCTTTCTGACCCAGTAACAACAAGGCCTGGACCAGAGGCCAGCACCCCCCATTTGATCATGTAGGGTAGAGAGCAGGAAGAGGATTGGGCCCTAAAACCCAGGCCAGGTAAGTGTCCACGGGACTAAGATGCCCAGCTGCCAGCAGGAATGCCAGTCTCCAAAAGGTCTTAGAGAATGAAGACTCTGCTATTGATATAGGAGGATCCGTGGTGACTATAGCAAGTGATGAAATTTGAGAGTAGAAATTACATTTTAAAATGTTACCAAGAGGAATTGACAGTGGGATTGAAAAGGGGGAAAAAACCCCACAGACTATATGTCACGTGTTTCTGCATTTTATTTCATGGAAATGGAAATTCTTTTAGAACTGTATTATGTACCACGTGGATCATTGAATGAGAAACATTATTATAGCCACTAAATATTATAGCTTCTAGTTATTGATTTCTAGGCATCTGGCAGATATTTTATTTATATTAGCTGATGATCACATTCATCTTCCAAGGGAGGTAGAATTCTTAGGGTCTTTCAGGTGGGAAATTACCCTTAGGCAAGTAAATTAACTTGCTCAAGGTCATATGGAGTCAGGTTTTCCTGGCTTCAAAGCCCAGCCTTTTTATACTAAACTGAGCTAGCTACGGCTTTACATAGGGTAAGTGGACAAGTAAGGGCTTCAAAGTAGAGATTTATCAATAATTGTTGTTAAAGGTGTTTCCAGAGAAGAAGAAATTAGAATAAACAGAGTTAAGATGATAAAGGGTGGGTGACCTTAGCTTTTCTTACAAATGATTGACTAGTTTTTTTTTTTTAACCCATTAATCTTTACATCTTTTGAGTGCTAATTTTTATCACAATTTTAAATCCAAGGAGGCAGTTTAAGTGATTGAAATTTTTACTTCAGTCACAAAACTCTTAATAGTAATTATAGACTGACTTTTACTGGAACAGCAGTTCAGAATTTTCATTCTATTGCGTGTATGTGTGTGTGACTGACTTTTCTTTAAAAAAAAAATGCAGCATTTGATTCTAAATATTTTCTTTTACACACACACACACACACACACACACACACACACTAGCCTTCTGGACCCAGTTTCTATAAAAAGTTGAGGCTTTTTATTAGAGAAGAAGATTTTTGCTATGGATATGAAGAACACCTATATTGTATATTTGTTTTCAAAGGGGTATTAATTAGGTTTTAAGGGCTAAGAGTGTTCCAGTCTCACCTAATGGTTCTCCTCTGACCCCTTTCTCCCTCTGCTCCTCACAGATACTTCTTGTGCCTTCAGCTCCGGCAGGACATTGCTTCTGGCCGCCTGCCCTGTTCCTTTGTGACTCATGCTCTTCTGGGATCCTACACACTACAGGCTGAACTTGGTGACTATGACCCGGAAGAACATGGCAGCATCGACCTCAGTGAATTCCAGTTTGCCCCAACTCAGACTAAGGAGCTGGAAGAGAAGGTGGCAGAGCTGCACAAAACCCACAGGTCTGTTGCTTTGCTGACTGGAGAGGGAATGGCCATGGTAGATTTAAATAGCTTCTCTTGTAGCGCTTACTAGACATTGAGCACAATTTACAGGATTTTCCAGTTTTTCCTTTTGGAGCTTCACCAAGCACTAATCAATACAACATGCAGCCCTTGAGGCATCCTTTCATTATTTTTATGACTATCGTATAAGAAACTATGCTCATGAGACTGTATGTTTTCATTTATTGGAAAAATGTACTTTTCCCAATGACACCTTCTTCTCTCTATCCTATTCCTTAACATATACACATTGGAAATAAACATGCCCACATACTTATTTGACATTTACTTTATATTTCTTCTGCCTTTTAATTGTCCTGATGACTCTGTGTGGTAAGAAAGCTAGGGAGATATTGAGGCACTGGGATTTGAATTACAGTGTAGGTGGCGATGGACATAGGAATGGTAACTGAAATGTACAGGCCGTGCCACTGGAAGATGATCTATTGGTTTAGCTAAGATTACTTACATTACATTAATACCATATCACACTTTGAGAACATTTATGTCTGTGTGAAAAGAAAATGGACTTTTTATACAAGTTTTTAGAACTCTGGCTGCAACTATATCACAAAATTATAGTTTTATAAAATTTTTACTAAAGTGATCTGAAAGGAATTTTCCAAAATTAGAAGGTTTTCAAACAGGCCATATTCATTGACTTTGAAAAAATGCAGTATTTGACTCTAAATGTTTTCTTATTAATTTATTTAAATTCTATTTAATAGACATTTGTTGTATAATTCTAATAGGAAATATGAGATACTGAAATGCCATGGGGAATGTGAAAATTAATGGGACATGGTCTTGCTCTTTAGGAGCTTAAATTTTATTTAGTTGGGCATATACGTAGGAATAAAAATTACTTTATTTTATTTGATTTTTTGTTTTATTGAGATGAAGTCTTGCTCCGTCACCAGGCTGGAGTGCAGTGGTGCGATCTCGGCTCACTGCAACTTCCGCCTTTAAGTGATTCTCCTGCCTCAACCTCCCGAGTAGCTTGGATTACAGGTGCCCGCTACCATGCCCAGCTAAGTTTTATATTTTTAGTAGAGACAGGATTTTCACCATGTTGGCTAGGCTGGTCTTGAACTCCTGACTTCAAGTGATCTGCCCGCCTTGGCCTCCCAAAGTACTGGGATTACAGGCATGAGCCACCGCGCCCAGCCGGAAATAATTTTAGTATAGCCAGAGTGTGATTTGCATTACCTATCATAGGTGTAAAATCAAATACAAGTAATTTTGATCTTTATTATGCTGAACTCTAGTGAAATAAAATGAAGGAGTAAAAATGTGTTTATCACAGAAAGATGAGATCACTTTTTTTTAATTCTCTGGTTCTTATGTTGTACCCTGTTGCTGGGAGTTTTTCCCTCAGTGGAAATAATCAAAAGCAACTTTTTAAGATAGAAGGGGTAAGAATGGAGGTATACCTCTATGCAATTTAGCAGGTTTAGATGTTAGGATCTTAAGAGAAAAATGTTAAAGGTTAAGAGTTGTTTTCTTACTTTTTCCTACTTTTCTGCAAACTTGGCTGGGTTACTTCCTCCCCTCCAGACTCTCTGAGCACATACACTCCTCTCATTTGACTACATTTGCTCTGCACCCATTAAGAAGATAATACTGTTTCTTTTGATTCTCAGGGGTTTATCTCCAGCACAAGCTGATTCCCAGTTCTTAGAAAATGCAAAGAGGCTTTCCATGTATGGTGTTGACCTACATCATGCCAAGGTACTGTAAATGTAACGGGAAGTAGCATCACACCAGTCTGTTGACTGAAGTTTTGAGAGGGCTCCAGTTTCGGGATAGCCCAGCTAATTTTGGGGAAAAGGGATTTGCCTTCACTTGAGGATCTCTGGAATGTTTCCCTGGTGACTAATTATGGGGTTTATAGTTGTGGGAAAGACCATGTATTTTCCCTCTACTGCTTATTTTCCCAGGCTTTTAAATTAATGCCATTTCATAGGTATTTACTGTGATTCGCCATGTCAGCCTGTTTCACCCCTTATCCTGGTTTTATTCTGCATCTTGGCTTCTACTAGGCCAAGTGCTGTGTCTGTCCCAGTTCCCTCTCCCACCTCTGTCTTGGGAGAGGAGAGCAGACCTTAGCAACCATAAAAGGACAAAAGCAGCATGGATAGGACCGCTTTCCAAAAAGCTTCTGTGTGGTGAAGGAGCCCTAGATCTAGCCTTGTCCCTGTAGGTGTGTTTTGTACTTTGTGAAAGATAAGGTAGGCGGGCCCAGGCTCTGAGTAATAAAGCACTTTCAGTCTAATTTGAAACCTAGTAAAAGAATAAGACAATGGAGACATGGGAAGCCAATTGTAATCCTGAATACCATAATCCTGAAAGATAAAAATCTCGAAAATATAATGCTTGAAAAAATAATTTTAAGTTATTTAAAAGACATTTATTTACGTTTTTAAAGGGGGATTTGAGAAACATAAAACACAACAGAACTTCATAGGCCACTTTTAGTTTTTTTGAGGTGGATTTTCACTCTTTTTTTCCCAGGCTGGAGTACAATGGCGCAGTCTTGGCTTACTGCAACCTCTACCTCTCGGGTACAAGTGATTCTCCTGTCTCAGCCTTCTGAGTAGCTGGGATTACAGGCATGCGCCGCCATGCCCAGCTAATTTTTTTGTATTTTTAATAGAGACAGGATTTCACCATGTTGGCCAGGCTGGTCTCGAACTCCTGACCTCAGGTGTGAGCCACCGTGCCTGGCCCATAGGCCACTTTACATGACAAAATAGGCAGTAGTAACATACATACTTTTGCAAGCATAAATGCTTCAGTATACTGACGATAGTCACAGGGTATGAGTTATGAGTAGACGAATCCTGTTCATACAAAAATAGGTCCAAAAGTGAAATGTGTAAGCACACATCACTATAGTTGGTCGCCAGTAACAATATCAGTTACTTCATGGTTCTAGTTTAGTTGATTATATGGTGGGGAGAGTCAAGAAGGAGAATGACAGGCAAGGTGAAAGATGGATTTGTTTTTAAAAAATATATCCAGAATCAACATGTCCTATGGTTGCCTGCTTTTAAAAGACCCTACCAATCTCTAGATGTTGTTTAGAAGCCCAAATTATGATTTGAGACCTCTCTAGGAAAGCTCCCCCTACAAAGTTGCCTTTCCTCCCTACGCCTCTGATGAATAATTCTTGCGTTTGTGTTATTAATCATACCCTGTATTTACATAGCATTCTTTTTTTTCCTCAGTGGCTTCCTTTGTTTAAATACTTTTCTGTATTACAAAACTAATACATGTTCATCATAGAAAATAGAGACAAACAGAAGAAAATAAAGACCACTTCAATCTTTATGTAGAAATAAGTACTCTTAATACATTTTTTTCTTTTTTCTTTTCTTTCTTTGCTTTTTTTTAGATCGCTGGGCAGTTGAATTCACATGCTTTCTAAAAATGGGGTCATACTATGAGCACCATTTCTGTCAGTTTTTTTTAAACTTGCTATTATAAGATTTTTCTATGTCAGTAAGTAGTCTCTGGCACCATCATTTTTAACTACTAGATGCCGTATGCCCGTAATTTTAAAAAGTACTGTCATACCATCTCATTTTTTTTTTTTACCAGTATACCATCTTATTTAAAATTGGAATGTTTTTTATTTTACAGCTACATAAAACAGTGCAGAGAATGACTTGTTTAAACCTGTGTGTTGTTAAATGGTCTATCTGCCTGATACCTTCTGGGAAATGCTAGTAGGAGGTGAAACAGATTGTCTTGATACTCAAGTGCTTTTCTGATCATTTTCTGTATAATGGGTCAGGCTACGTTAACCAAGAAGCAGAAATAGGGAGGGAAGAAAAAATAAGTTTGGGACCAAAAAAAACCTCCCAAACCTCTCTTCCTCTAGACCCTGCCATTCTTGCCACATGGAAATCTTGTATCTCTGCTTTGTTGATCATTAGTTAGAAACCAGTTCTTAAATGGCAGTGCTGTAAGGTTTCAGGATTCTTGTTTTTGATGTTATATCTTAGAAAAGTAAGAAATTGTGGACTCTGAAGTATAATATTCTTTCTCGCTGTGTAGTTAGGAGCAGAACGTTAAAAAATTTCAAGGGAACCTTCATTCTGTTTATCATCTGATAGACTCTGTAGAATATATTTGATAAGCAAGATATTTGTGGCTTATTGAAAAGAATATATGTGGCAGTTTAAAAGAACTTTTCACATTTCATGTTGTTTCAAGTTTTATGTCTTTTTATTTTTCATTTTTTTTTAATTAGAAGAGTTTATAAGGCATATTTGTGTTAGGATGAGTTGAAAAATGTTGAATAAAAGGAACCTTGACAAAGGTTCAGAGAAATCGTAAGAGAATCGGGACACTGGTGATGGCCCCAGGCTAGTGTCTGCAGCTATCCTGATCTCTCTAGGTCTGTCTGAAGGAGGGAGGGCAGAGTAGTTTCCAAAACCCCCAAGCAGAGATATGTGGGGAGAGTGCTGTCTTGCTGGGAGCCATTGTCAGAGGGACAGAGTCAGCCTGATGTGGCCACGCAGGGAGGGAATCTGGGTATTAAACATCCTGACCTCCCTTTCCTTCCTTGCCTGATCTTTGGCAAGAGCTTCCTTAATACTAAACTCATTTGAACGCCAGCTGTCATGGGATCCTGTTGAAATCCCTATGGGACAGTGAGCAATGCAGAGAAGGTGCTCCTTTTCATTAGTTTATTTTTCTGATTTTGCTACCATGTGGCATAACTTATCTATGATGGATTGAGTCCTGCCTTTTCGTCTTTTCACTTGCTACCCTTTATCTGTAGTTCCTGTTCACACAAATAGCGGTAATTCTAAAATAATTATGTAGAACAACGAAAGTCAACCATTTTACTTGAATCTGAGTTGTGCTTATTTTTAAGTCAGATAAAATAGCTTCCTTGTCCCATCCAAAGATTGCTTCAGACTAGAGATGGCTCATTCAGTGTTTCAAACTCTGGTTGCCTCCCCACTTGTGGTGAGAACATGCCGTCTCGGGCAATCTTCTGCCTTGCTTGCTGTGGCCATGGGCAGTGATGGTTTTGGCAAACATACTATGGGGTCTGGTGCCAAGTTGCTTGGGCACCTGTGCCTGATTCACCCCAGCTTTTTAGTCTATTCCTAGAGAGAGTTGTGGCTGCCAAGATAAGGGTGAGTAAAGCAATCGATTGGATTTTTAAAAATGGCTTACGTTGGTCTAACGTAATTTTATTTGTGTGTGTGAATTATTCAAGTGTCACAGCAGAAAGCAACTAGCATCAATTAGCTAATACTACACTTATAAAAAACTGATTTAAGTGGCATTAAAGCGTTCTTAGTGATAAGACAGACAAAATGTTATCCTTTTACTAAATTGGGAGTTAGGCTAAATATGGAGGTTGTTTCAGCATTTTTTGTGAGAATTTGTTTCGTATTGTTTGTGATTTCTGAAAATGTGAATATCTTTGAGCAATAGTCTTCAATTTTACATATGTTGAATGAGAGCCATTTCTCCTCTTAAGAGACAAACAATAATTTGTATGCTTTGAATATGTGCATCTTAGATCTTCCCTACTTGAAATGTGAGGAGACAGGTTTTCACTTTTGTCTGTAAATTTGTTTGGTTTTTAAAACATCGTTTAGATGTGTGATTATTCTAGATTGTCATTGATTCCAAATTAAAGCTCTGGGGAAAGAAAACTATTAATAACTTCAAGAATAGTCTGCCATCCTTTGAAATATGCCAGCCAAAGGAATGCCTAATGAGAACTGGATGTCAGCATTCTAAGTTAATGAAAAACTGCTTGAAAGAATTCAGAGATTTCAGCACTATCAGCCTTTAAGAGAAATTATCTGCAAGAGATTGCTGTTTTGCAAAATAGTGGCATAATTTTTTTTTTTTTTTGAGATGGAATCTTGCTCTGTCGCCTAACTGGAGTGCAGTGGCTCGATCTCAGCTCATTGCAACCTCTGCCTCCCAGGTTCAAGTGATTCTCCTGCCTCGGCCTCCTAAGTAGCTGGGACTGTAGGCACACACCGCCACACCTGGCTAATTTTTTGGTATTTTTTAGTAGAGACGGGATTTCACCATGTTAGCCAGGATGGTCCTGATCTCTTGACCCCATGATCTGCCCACCTCGGCCTCCCAAAGTGCTGGGATTACAGGTGTGCGCCACCATGCACAGCCAATACTGGCATAATTTTAAGAGCTATTAACTAGAGTAATCTATCCTTGGTAAATGTATCTAAAGGAAAATGGTTGAACACACCTTGGGATAGGCCAATAGACTGTTCCTAAGGGCTGGACTAGCCTACAGGAGAAGCTCATTTTATTTACCATACCTTCAGAATCTTCAGTTCTGTTTCCTTTCTTCTCTGTTAGCTCCTGCAGTAGAACTGAAGAACATAAGCATACGCCTTTTGAAGAACATTGTGTCCTATAGTCAGGTTGCCATAACTCTTTGGCAAATCACACTTGATCCCTGAAGATGAATAAATTTCACATGTATGTGTGTGCACTGTAGTTTCACTAAAATTTAAATACAGACCTGTTAAGCTGGCATTCCTGATCATGATTTGAGGAAGCTAGTTAGCTTCTTGATTTGTATAACTTTCACAGCTCTAACCATGATTAATTGGGTTATGCTTGGCAGGACTCAGAAGGTGTGGACATCAAGCTGGGCGTGTGTGCTAATGGACTTCTCATTTACAAAGATAGACTGCGAATCAATCGGTTTGCTTGGCCGAAAATCTTAAAAATTTCCTATAAGCGCAGTAACTTCTACATTAAAGTCAGACCAGCAGAGGTAAGCAATCGCATTTCTAATCAGTAGTTGTTAGCATGCCTCTTTACGACCATGAGTTAAAAAATTATTTTCTACTAATTCTGAAATTTAAGAAAATAAACTTATTTTTTCTTCCATTATAAAAGGTCAGGGTTTTTAATGATAAAATTGCAGTATATATATGTATGGTCTGTTTTTCAAAAAAACAAGCAACCATCATACTTTTTACAAAAAAGAAAAAGTAATAAGGTATGGCTCTTTTTTTCTTGTTGAATCAATTAAGTTGTGATCATCAGGAAAGCAATAAAATGAGTTTTAGTGAACATTGAAGGGTAGTTGGTTTATGTGAGTAGTTGTTACTTGCTTTTCATAGAAAATCGTATTGCAGTCTGTGAAATTCATCTTTATACGATTATATTAGAAATACAATATTTACCTTTTTAAAAAGGAATAGTTACTTCTAACAGAAACATCTGAATTCATGCTTTTCAGTAGCTTCTAGTCAGTTCTTAAGGAAATACACTGATTTGTTTTATGGATTTATTCCAGCTGGAACAGTTTGAGAGTACCATTGGATTCAAACTGCCAAACCACCGGGCAGCAAAAAGGCTATGGAAAGTGTGTGTGGAGCATCATACTTTCTACAGGTAATTTTAGGAAAACAGCTCAGAAGCCAGGCATGATGGCACATGCCTGTAATTCACCAACTCAGGAGGCTGCAGTGGGAGGATTGCTCGAGCCCAGGAGTTTGAGACCAGCCTGGGGAACATAGCGAGACTCCATCTCTCTTTTTTCCTAAGAAAGAAAGAAAACAGCTTGGTATTGCTTTTAGTAACCTCTGTGAATTAGGAGGTGGTAGTGGTGGGGAATGTGGCAGATGCATCAACCCCCTGCCACTGGACTCTTTTTTCTCCTCCTTGCCTCATCTCCTTTGTCTGCACATGTCAATTTCGGTCCATGCATTGCCATCATTCAGAACTGAGCCGCTCCTGCAGCTGTCCAGAGCTCCACTTTCTGACTCTAACCACCTTTCCTTCCACCACAACCACACTGCCTCGTGCCTGCCACCATTCTTCTTTCCACTCTCCCTCCTCTTAGGTTTCACTTTGATGTTCTCATCAGCTGCCTCCTGACTTCACTTCTTTCCCAAACTAGCCTGAAGCCTGTGGTCTGACTGCTTTGTCAGGAGTGTTCTGACCCCCTCAAACCACACTCCGCTTCACACGTTTACCTTCTCTGTCTGCTAGTCCTGGATTAGTCCTGTGTCCTGACCTCACCACTTCTGGACCCGTGCTGTCAAGTGCTACCTTAAATAGTACAACTGTTGTGACACATGCAGTTATTCTTTATAACAAAAAACAGCACAACTCCGTGGATTAGTGCTATTAACAGAGAAATAATTTCCAGTATGAGCTGGATCCTCAGTGCTGCTAGGCAAGCAGTTTGTCCTTTTACTTCCTTTGCCATTCCAAATGCTCATCGTCTTTGTGAGTCCCTAGGCACCCCTGCTTCCTCTTCTGATGCCCTCCATCATGCTGGTTACTGGAAGTAGAAGCTGTGCGTCATGAGTGTTCTTGGTTTCATGAACCTTCCCTTCTTCCCCTTTTGCTCTTAATTAAGCATCGCTCTTCTCTCCTCCCATTCATTCTTTCCCTCTTCTGCTGTCTCAAGGAGATTCCTCTGCTTTGATCCCTCATTTCATGCCTCACAAAGTATCCTGCTTTGTAAATTATTTATCCTTTAGTTGGTACCTGCAGTTTCTTTGGCCAATAAATATGTCCACATCTTGCTGTCTTAAAAATAACAACAACATATACATACATATATTGTGTGTGTGTGTATATATATATATATATATAAAATATAATATATGTGTATATTTGGTGTATATATATACACATATATATGGTTATATAAGATTTTATGTATAAAATCTTTGATCATCTGACCATCTTTACTTTATATCTTGTCACTTTTTGTACTTTTCTTCAAGGACATGATTTTTACATGTACTTTGCTTATCTTTGTTTCTCCATTCCTCAGTTTCCTGTAATTGTAGTTTAGATAGCTGTGTATCTAGACCCTTCATCTTTAAGGTCTTTGCTCTAGACTTAGGGTCAATACTGTTATACCAAATACGAGCTGTGTGACTGTGGTACATTACTCAACCTCTCTGTGCTTCACTTCCATCATCCATATGTGATAGTAATACTAGTATCTACCTCATAGGATTGGTTTGAAACCTAAATGAGATAACACACATGAAACAACTTAGAACTGTTTCTGGCACATCATCAGATTTGTCTTCATCATTATCATTGTTCTTAGTTTGGTACCCCAGTTTGCTGTTTATAAAGTGAATTATCAGCTGGAACAAATAATTCTTTCTTGAAGTTAAATTGACCAAGACCTGTTTTTCAAGACTACTGTAATATATTAATTTTCAAGGAGAAATATAACTCATAAAATATACTTGAATCCCTCCGCCTCAGTTATACTGATCATATAAATCTTTGAAAACTTTGTAATTTTTCTTGATAGCTATAACAAATTTCTCATCAAGACAACATGAGCCAGCTCATATAAAGGTAGTAGATGACGTTTATGACACAGGCCCCAACTGGGCAGACAGTAGCTTTCCCTATCACATAATGATCAAAAAAAAAAAAAGCAATAATCTGTTTACAAATGACAAGTGGTAGTGTTCATTGAACATTTGTTATAGTCATGCACAGAATTGATTGCTTTATATTGTGGTAGTCTGTTTCTCGCCCTAGGCAAGACAGCTGCTGCTTAGAGATCAGTGCCTATGGAGGAGCACAGCAGCCAGGCATCTGAGGAGAGATGGAGACTGGGCCCCCTGGTCCTGAGACCCATATTCCTTACCTCTGTGCTGTCCTCTTCTTGTATTCTTCTAGCAGGAGTTTCTGAGATGTATTAGCTGTGCAAAGCCTCAGGCCTCTCCATTTTTGCTAATGTACCATGGACTCCAATTTAGAAGTATAACAGTTTGCTCCTGCAAACTTTTGATATAATGGTTAACAAAAGCAGTTTTAAATTTTTAAACCTTGCATAATATTGCTTACAAAGTTATATAAAAGAATATATCTAACACAAAGAATCAGTCATACTTTGTCTCCAGATTGCTTTGAATCAGATCAGTGGAATTTACTCTGTTTCAGTTTATCACAGAAGGTATAAATGATTTCTTTAGAAAATTACAGTGGCTTGCAGATTGAAGCCATTAACACATGAACAGATCTATTAATTGGTAGCCAATTAGCTAGACTGATATTAGTGGAACAAGAAAGTAATAATAAAACTGATGTGGCTGGGCATGGTGGCTCACAGCTGTAATCCCAACACCGTGGGAGGCCGAGGTGGGTGGATCATGGGGCCAGGAGTTCAAGACCAGCCTGACCAACATGGGGAAACCCCATCTCTACTATAAAAAATACCAAAATTAGCAAGGCCTGGTGGCACATGCTTATAATCCCAGCTCCGCAGGAGGCTGAGGCAGGAGAGTCACTTGAACCTGGAAGGCAGAGGTTGCACTGAGCCAAGATTGTGCCACTGGACTCCAGCCTGAGCTACAGAGCAAGACTCTGCCTCAAAAATAAATAAATAAATAAAGCTGATACCCTTTCTTGGAGCATTTAATAGAGCCTGTCACCATTCTCAGTGTTGTACAGGGATTCTTTTTTTTTTTTTTTTTTTTTTGAGACGGAGTCTCACTCTTGCCCAGGCTGGAGTCAGTGGCAGGATCTTGGCTCACTGCAACCTCCACCTCTTGGGTTCCAGCGATTCTCCTGGCTCAGCCTCCTGTGTAGTTTGGATAGGTATGCGCTACCACTTTGGCTAATTTTTGTATTTTTAGTAGAGACAGGGTTTCACCATGTTGTTGGTCAGGCTGGTCTTGAACTCCTGACCTCGTGATCCGCCCACCACGGCCTCCCAAAGTGCTGGGATTATAGGCATGATAATACCTAGCTGTACAGAGATTCTTTTAAGAATCTTAGCCTAGCTGTGCAGAGATTCTTTTAAGCTTAATAACAGATCTTATAGGACAGGTACTGTTATGGACACTTTACATTGGAGAAACTGAGAAGCAGTGGAGTTAAGAGACCTGCTCATGGTCATGTAGGTAGCAACTGGTGGAAATGGCATTCAAACCCCGATAATGTAGCTCCACGTTTAAGTGGAGCTACAGAAGTATACCCACTGTGCTGTACTGCCCAATTGTATTTGCAGTGGATATTCTTCCTTGTATTTTTCTTAGTGCTCTTGCTGTTCTTACGAGTGTGTGTGAACTAGAATTTCACATCGTCGTCTTCTAGCTTGACATGAAACTGCCACTTAAACTTGGCATTGTAAAAGCAGCATAATCCCAAGTGAAAACACTGCAGAAACCTTTATACCGTTGGTAATTGATACATGCATTTTTCTTAAATGTTCCTTTATTGTCTATAGATAAATGTTAATGTTATTTGATTTATAATGGCAGGATTTTAAAAAACTAAAATGATAATGTACTTCTTAAGCAGTAAAATAGGTAAAAGTTGAATTTCTTTTGCTCTAGGCCTTTAATACTCTGTGAAGGTTAGTTCCTTTTTGTAGTTTTTATATTTCCAAAAGTGACATGATAGATGTCTTGTAGTGGTTTAGATGTTATTCTTTCAGAGACAAGGTCTTAGAGCAAGTGTAAATTTTTATTTTTTTATTTTACTTTAATTTCCGGGATACAAATGCAGAACGTGTAGGTTTATTACATGGGTGTATGTGGGCCATGATGGTTTGCTGCACCTGTCAACCCATCATCTAGGTTTTAAGCCCTGCATGCATTAGCTGTTTGTCCTAATGCTCTCCCCTGCCTTGCCCTGTACACTGCAAGTGTAAATTTCTGCTGTTCAGCATTCTGATTTAAGAATATGCAGCTCTTTCTCAAGTACAATTTGAGACACTGGCCATTGTCAGATTGCACTTTCTCAGCAGCAGTATCTATGTCTCCTTTGAAAACCATGGGGCTGAACGTGGTGGCTCACACCTGTAATCCCAGCACGTTGGGAGGCTGAGGTGGGTGGATCATGAGGTCAGGAGATCAAGACCATCCTGACCAACATGGTGAAACCCCGTCTCTACTAAAACACAAAAAATTAGCCGGGCATTGTGGTGCGTGCCTGTAATCCCAGCTACTTGGGAGGCTGAGGCAGGGGAATTGCTTGAACCTGGGTAGTGGAGGTTGTAGTGAGCCGAGATTGTGCCACTACGCTCCAGCTGTGCGACAGAGCACAAGATTCCATCTCAAAAAAAAAAGAAAAAAAGAAAAAAAAAAGAAAATCTATTGGCAGAAAATGGGCGTTTTCAAGAAACACTGTTGCTACCCTGTACAAATAGATTGGAACCAAAAAAGCCAGCGTATGTTAGTTCTTCTTTTACTAGCTTGATTATAACATGCTGTTTTCCTGGGTGAATGCTGTGGAGAATCCTAAGTTGACAGAGGATTGCCTTTTGTTTTTGTCACATCTAACTTCACCTTGACTTGGATCGCCTCATTGCTTTATTGCAGAAGGTGATTTCTAAAAAAATTGTACCGAAGGTCTTAGAAATACTTGAAATTATCAATGGAGTTCTTTAAGGAATCACTCTTCCATGACAAATTATAGGAAACGTTTTGGTGGAATTCTTCATGTTTTTGAATTGCCAGCGAAAGTCTTCTTATTTAATAAATTCTACAAGGGCTCTGAGATTGTGTTTCTGTTATTTATCAACTTTCGATCAAAGAGAGCAAAATAATTTTAGATGAACTCCCAAAAAGATTGGCCCATTTACTAAAAACATGCTTTTGCATAAGCCTGGAAGTGTTTGACATCAAGAAAGTTTGAGTTCATTCATTATGAACCCAGGGATTAAGCAGTAGAATTGTGCTGGCCGAAGGGATGTTAGCCATCTCTACAGATCCACTGTGTGTGTGGTGTGTTCTCCATGGGAAAGAATCACTTGATGGAACAGATTCCTGAGTTAGATGTTTTCTCCCCAGCAGAAATAGGCATAAATATTAAGAATTACTAATGGTGATGGATTGTTACTTGGCTCTTATAGCTAGAAGCAGAAATTCAGATGTGTTTATATAAATGATTTAAGCTAATACAAATAAATAACCTTTGGTATACTGAGAACAGCTGTTTCTTTGCTTAGGTTGAGAAGAACATTATTCATGAATATATGAATGTGGATTTACTCATCACCAACATAAAGCTGTGTGTGTAGGAGGGTTTGTAAATAACGTTCTCTAGAAAGTTTAGTTTTTGAGTAATCATACTTAAAATGAAATATGAAAGTACATAGCTTTAAGGTTTTTAAAAATCCATAAAGTCTAATTTTGTTTCCCCTTTCCTTTTTTTTTTCTTTGTCCTGTAGGCTTGTTTCTCCAGAGCAGCCACCAAAAGCTAAGTTCCTGACCTTGGGGTCCAAATTCCGCTATAGTGGCCGCACCCAAGCACAAACCCGCCAGGCCAGCACCCTCATAGATAGGCCAGCACCACACTTTGATCGCACTTCTAGTAAACGGGTCTCCAGGAGTCTAGATGGAGGTAAACACATTTATGATAATTTCATTCATCTTTCTCTAATCCAGTGAGGTCAGGAAATGTTAATCCAGTTAATAAAGCCACCAGAAATACCCTTCAGAGACAGCCATTTTTTTTCCCAAGAAAATAAAATGCCGTTACTTATGCCTACAGGAAAATAATTTTGTTGTGTTTTGGAGTTGTTACTCTTTTTTGATGTTGTCATACTTTTTTTGTAAAGCAGGTTGAATACCCCATATCTGAAAATCTGAAATGCTCCAAAATCAGAAAGTCTTTGAGCACTGACATATGCTCCAAGGAAATGCTTATTGGAGCATTTCAGATTTCATATGTTCAGATTTGGGGTGTTCAGCTGGTAACTATATATAATGCATATTTCAAGATATAAAAAAGCTAGAAATCTGCAACACTTCTGGTCCCAGACATTTCAGATAAGGGATACTCAACCTTTACTGTCAGTGCACACAAATTCATTTAAGAGTTCTCATTCATGAGATGTTGGACACACATGCTTTACTGATTTCTCTTGATTAAGCGTTGTGTTTTCTGTGGTTCAATTTCCTGAACCTGTTAATTGATGGCAAAATGTAATTCTCAGGGTTTTTTGCTATGGTAGCATATGAACCTTAATTCAGAAGAACCATAATTCAGAAGGTTATAGGAGGTCTGTACCTGATTGCCTGCCTCAGCAAATTTTCATGAATGAAACAACTTACTGAAACTTACCAAACTTTCCGTCATATGAGAAGGGTTTAGTAGCTTCAAAGGATTCATTTTAAATACAGCATTTTAACAAAAAGGAAATATAATGTGTTTATTTGTTGTTTAACCCACGGGAAAATATGTATAAATGTGAATTTTTTTCTATTAGACTTTTAACTAGCTACATTTTATAGTTTTGCATAAACTACATATGAAATGTTTTATATAAACTACACATGAAAAAAAATGTATGTATATAAAAATTACCTGATCCAAAATGGGTTAATCGAGGTTTTCTATAAAAGAGCTAAGGTTAAATTTACATTAGAATGCCTTATGAAGGAATTTTCTTTCTTTGTAATAGAAAATGATTTGTGTAGATAATTTTCTACCCAAAGAAATAGTTTTCCAACATTTTTAGTTTGATTAAACTAAAAAATATATATATAAAATACTAAATTTGAAAATTATATTTTACTACTACTTATTAGCAGAAAACTTTTTTCTTGTTTATTATATTTTTCTGAAATATAAACTCAAACAACTTATATTTTAAATAATTAGGATAAAACAGACCAGATAATGCTAACAGATAAAAAAAGATTTCTTATTAGTGACGGATTCATATGCATTGCCTTAATCTACTTTTCCTAGGAAAAAAAACTTGGAAAACAAATGCAGGTGGACACATAGAGAAATTTGCCAGGATTTGTTGGTGGGCATTTTGGTAAATAGCTTTTAAATCCTGAAGTATGCAAGGGGATCATGAACCATGCTTTAAACGAATTTCCGAAATTGTTTAAATGATTTAAATTCAGTTAATTATTAATGTACATTAGCTGCTAAAGTGTCTTTTAGCTCTTCAACAACTGAGCACTTTTCCAAGTAAATCTGAAAAATGTGCCAACCCATGTAAATATTTCACAAGCCTTGCCCCTTGCCACAGAGAATTTATACAAGTGCTGAATAAATGCAGTCACTGTTGTTTACTGCCCTGAGAGAAATCATTGCTCTTTCTGGAACACTGTCTGTTTTCAGTGTTTGTTTGAAACTATGAGGCTCTATAACTCTTATATGGCAAAGTTTAGCATTTAAAAAGAGCAGTAAAACAGCATTTTCTTTGAGGTGTATAAACTGTCCTCAAGGAAACCCACCATCTTGCATGGGCAGTTAGTGCAGAGGGTTATGGGAGGTCTGTATCTGAAAACAATGATTTTCACAAGGAAAAACAACAAACATGGCACAGTAATCCATTATTTTTCCCTTTGTGTTTTGGAGGCCGTAATTCATCAGATGGGCAAGTCATCAAAAGGATTATTGTGTTATTGTGAAAAATAGGAGGCTTTTAATGCCAATACATGACCAGACAGCCAGTGAACTCTTTGATTAGGGCTTATGTTCTCCTTTCTTTCCCCCCAGAGCAAAGCTGGGCCGTAACCTGGCACTGAGTTTTATTTTCTTCACCACCACTTATCAACATACCTTTTGTTGTTGTAGTTGACATGTGTTGTGTTTTCTTTTTAAGTAAGGCTGGAATAATTTAGATATTTAAGCCTCACTTTAAAGTTTGGCAAATTAAAATAAATACTCTTGTGATTACATAGCACGTGTAAATCAGGGTTCAACCTCAAGATCAAATACCAAAATGAAAATCAATCTAGAACAGCTATTTTAGGACAGGGGGTTCCTCTGAGATTAGAAAATAGAACCCTGAAGAAGGAAAATCAGTCATTTAAGAGAATGAACAACCAAGATGCATTTGGGAGTTGGGGAACCAGTAAGTTTTCTGAAAGTGGAAACAGGACACTCCTTATTGGGATTGTCAGGAAAGGAACACCTGCCTGAGGAAGAACCAGGTCAGTTGAGACTTGAAGGACGAGAAGGAGGAAGCCACAGAAAGGACAAGAGATATCTAATAATAAAACATTCCAGGTAGCAGAAGTGGCAACGATGAAGCTATCAGGCAAGGGAGAACTGGAATGGAAGGAAGGCAAGTGTAGTCAGAGCTTAGGAAGTAGAGGGAGAGGTAAGCCTGGGTCAGGCCATGCAGGGCCTTGCAGGCCATGGTGAAGAATGTGGTCTTTATTTATTCCATGTGCTGTAGGAAATCATTGAAGGGTTTGTGTGCACACAAGAGTGCAGTGTTATCTTTTTGAAAAATCATTTGATGCAAGAGAACAATTAGATTGAGCAAGGAAGCAGGCAAGCTGGCTAGAAATGGTCCAGGTGAAAGTGATGGCGGTTTTCCTTTTGGTGGTAGTAGGCTAATTAGCCATTTGGTATCTTGGGTTCTGTGCCAGGGCCTACAAGCTTCTCAGATGTTTAAGTGTTTAAGACCTGAATAAATGTATTGGCTCCAAAATGTAAAACACTGCATGCTGAAATTAATAAGCCTTTAAAAGCATGCAAAGTCAGCATTTTTTCAATTTTATTTAATAACTTTTAATTTGATATTCATTCAGATTTTAATACCATTACATTTGAAGCCATTTCGTGGTCAGATTTTCTCATTTTGCAAAATTTCTGAGTATATATGTATATATATATATATATATATATATATGTATGTAATATAATAGGTGTGTAGTATGTAGTATGTATAATAGGTATGTAGCAATCATAATTGTAAGCAAAAGAATCATAGCCATATACTTTCCAAGGGAATTTAAATATTGTTAGAAGTTTTTTTTTTTAAATTAAAAAAAATCCACTGGAAAATATACTTAATGTAAGATGCAAATTTATTCTAATGTTGGCTATGATTTGGTATGGGCTTGCAAACAAAGTATGAGTACTTAAGGGCTGGGAAAATCTTAAAAGTCAAGATGGTAGAATTAGAAATGGAAAGAACTGGCCACATTGGGAAATCTATACAAGGACCTTGTTGGACGTGCAGGTGTTGAGGGGTGAAGGAAGAGTCCTAGATATCCAGGTTCCTAGCTCAAGTAAATGGGTGTAAATATGAGAAGAGCATTTTGTGAAAGAGGCAAGGCTGGGAAAGAATTAAGTTTTGGACAGGGCAGGTGAAGGCTGTGGATTGAGACATATCTTGGGATACATGTATTGAAAGTCCTTGAGGCCTCTCAAGTTCATTATGGTAGTTCACACACAGTCCTGTTCACACACAATCCTTCCCTCCAAGAGCTTGCAGTCAAAAGGTGTTTGTGTTGACCAGGCTTCCCTTGGGGCATGGAACTAGAGGAAACCTCATGGTGTCTGTAGAGTACTTTTCATGCAAATGAAATGACCTCATCTTAGTTCGGTTGTTTGTGGAGGAGCTCCAGATGGACAGAAGTCTTGCCACCTACTATTCGCTTTGCCTTGCTGATGTTTGAGGTAGTCTTGGCTTGATCTGCAATATGACAGCATTTTCAATACAGCATACATTTCTGTCTATCTGTAGAAAAGAAGAGAGCACATGCAGGCCAGGTTTGCTGGGATGATGAGGGAGGTGACTATGTATAGATTTACCATAGTTCATGTTGAGACACTGAGGAAGCAGATTAAAAAATGAAAAAATATTAAACGTAAACATAGAAGTTAAAATCTCTAAAATTTACCTTAACTGTCTTTTACTTGCTATTTTATCTTTTGGATGTTATTCAAATTAAAGTTTCCTCTATGGAGCAATTCTTAAAACTTAATGGAGCAAATCATCTTAATAATTACATAATCATTTGTTGCAAATAGATAGATTCAGAAGTAAATCAGACAAGTCCAAAGAGTTAAAATACTGCTTACCTTGTAATTCTCTTTGCCCTAACTCTGGCGTTTAAGCTGGTCTTAGAGCTCCTCCTACTGGCCAGTTTCATGAGCTGACTATAGCCTTCCAGTACCTCTGATTTGAGACCCTGGTTAAAATTCTGAATACTTTCAGAATTTGGTAGACGTTTAAAAATGAGTTTATTTTATATGGTGGGTATTTTCAGAGCTCAAGCAATGTCTATGTTCCTGTTCATTGTTTATATGCTGCCTGTTTATCTCTTTAAGGGGGAAATTTTCCATAAAGTTTACTTTTCACATGTCCTAAAATAATCCTAAATTGTCACTCTTTACTAGCTCCGATCGGTGTTGTGGACCAAAGTCTTATGAAGGATTTTCCTGGCGCTGCTGGGGAGATTTCAGCTTATGGCCCTGGAGTTGTCAGCGTTGCAGTGGTACAAGATGGGGACGGCAGGAGGGAAGTGAGAAGCCCAACTAAAGCCCCACATTTGCAACTCATTGAAGGAAAGGTATGGTAAATTAGCCCAGTATGTGTTTTCAAACATTTACTTAAATACAGGCTATCTGTTGTATTTTCTGTTTTAGAAATCAAGTATTTGAAGTTAGTGTTTCTGTGTTCTCTGTTGGCCTTTTCTGTTTTCAGATATGCGTAGGGGTCTCTGACCTTTGTTTGCTTGTTGTTCAAAGCAGAATATTTCAATGTAAATTATTTTAATGCAAGTAAGTAATTTACTGGTCTTTTTGACTGTCCTCATCATCCCCTTATCTAATTGAATCCCTGAGGTAGAAAAGCTATGATGATTTGAAATTTAGTTTTGGTTGGTTACAAGTAAATTTTAAAATGTAGCATCTTGATAATTTTAATTAATGACTTGAATTATTTGACATGACCGAAAACACTCTTTATGAACACACGTATTTTTCATTAATAATCTATAACTAATGGAGAAATTCTTAGGGTAATTGTTTTGCGAATAGAGAGTGAGAACATGGTGTGTTGCTTTTGGCTTTATCTTGTGCGTACACCATAGTGAAATGGAGAAGTAACCCATATTGTGTTCTCAAATGTGTCACTGTTACCTTTTGTTACCTTGGGCAGTAACATCATTTGAATATTGATTTAAGAAGCCTTTGAATATTTTAGATCTCTTTTCTGTGTCTGAGCAAAGCAACATTTTTACATGTAACATTGGAGTGAGGACAGATAAAAACAAATGAATCCATCATATTGATTTAGAGTGTTTTCTATTTTATTTTTGTATTTTTTTTGAGATGGAGTTTCACTCTTGTTGCTCAGGCTAGAGTGCAGTGGCACAGTCTCGGCTCACTGAAACTTCCACCTCCCAGGTTCAAGCGATTCTCCTGCCCCGGCCTCCCAAGTAGGTGGGATTACAGGCGCCCACCACCATGCCTGGCTAGTTTTATATTTTTAGTAGAGATGGGATTTTACCATGTCGGTTAGGCTGGTCTTGAACTCCTGACCTCAAGTGATCCACCCGCCTCAGCCTCCCAAAGTGCTGGGATTACAGGTGTGAGCCATTGTGCCTGGCCGTATAGTTTTTTCTAAATTTTAACTTTGAAAATTTTAAAGACATAAAAATATATAAAGACTCGCTAGATGAAGTAGCTGCAAGTGCCTCAGGAATTCCTGCACCGATAGCCTCTGAGGCTCAGCATGGAGAAGGTCTCAGGGACTGCCACATGGGCCCGGTCTTGTGCCACAAGGTCAAGTGCTACCTATAGCAAGTGACATCAAATCATCTCCATTCCATTGTTAAAGAATGTGTAACTATCATATTGAAAAATTATTTGGTTGAGAATTCAGTTAAAAATAACAGAAATTGTGTCCAACAAAGTTTCTTTCAATTGCTGACAAGTTGTCAAAATAATTTAAAATTTTGCTAACAAGGCACCCAGGAGAGTGACTGCTTACATCTGAAACAGAAGAGCTCAGCATTTCAGAATATCTCTGTTCCATTTGGCCTAGTTAACTTGACATATCTAGTAATTTTCCTTAAAAAATGAAGAAGTTCTTTTAAATTTCAGTCCTGCTTGTCTTCAGCAAACAATGGGGTACACTGGCATTTTTGCTAATGCGTTGAATGTCTGTCAGCAACCAGGTTTAAAAGTAAATAATGCTGTTTGAGCTTCATGGGATCTATTTGCAACCAGTTTGAAAATAATTAAGTAAGTCAATATGTATAAATTTTCTATGATACAAGTAGTCTAGTCTTTTCTCTTTAAAAATGGGTCATTTAGGCTGGGCGTGGTGACTCACGCCTGTACTCCCAGTACTTTGGGAGGCTGAGGCGAGTGGATCACGAGGTCAAGAGATCGATCCTGGTCAACATGGTGAAACCCCATCTCTACTAAAAATACAAAAATTAGCTGGGTGTGGTGGCACATGCCTGTAGTCCCAGCTACTCGGGAGGCTGAGGCGGAAGAATTCCTTGAACCCAGGAGGCAGAGGTTGCAGTGAGCCGAGACTGCGCCAGTGTGCTCCAGCCTAGGCAACAGAGCAAGACTTCGTATTAAAAAAAAAAAAAGGATCATTGAATTCATTTCTAGCTACACTGTGTTAATATGATCCCTCCTTTAAAGTAAAAGTTTTCACTAACTTCTCATTTTTTCTTTTGTCTTCTTTCTCTCTTGCATCTGTTTTTCCTTTGAATGTATCCGTTGTGTAATTTCATATCCAATCATGGGTTTGCGCTTGAGAATAGACTGTTTCCATGTGCCCACCTTCCCCTCTCATCCACCGCGCTTCATCTTTTTCCCCAAACCTGTTACCTGTCCCTGAAATGGACTTGCTTTCAGACATTTCAGAGGAAGACCCCTTTGGGGAGGCTGACCAGATCACATTAGACAGCTTAGAGCACCTTTCCACGGGTGAAACATCAGAGCAGGGGGATTCTGAAGTGGCTATGCCTGATTTGGTCTTGGATTCTGCCATAGCCCCTTCTCGGCCTGATTGTCCTTCTCCCATCCGTGAGAAGACTCTTAAAGCAGCTGACAACAGTGATTCTGAGTTTGGTTACTTCTCCTTCAGTTTCTCCAAATGTTTTCCCTCTGGCTTCCCCTCCCTTCTTGATGAAGATGGATATCTTGCTTTCCCCAGCCTCCCCAAGGTCTGGGTCTCCTTCCTCCCTGCTGGTGTGCAGCACTATGTCCCAATCACCTCCCCTTCATTCATTCCTTCCCTTATCCTCATCTTCGGGCTACTTCTGTCTGCTTCTCAGTCAGTTTTTTTTTCTCTCGCCTTTTCCCTTCCTCTGGCTCTATCCCTCTGCTACCTGGAGGCTAAAGCCACCTCCTTTAATGTTTCTTATGACTGTGACTTGAATGACAAACTAGAGGAAGAGGAAGCAGTTGCTGGCATGCCTACATAAACTCAGTTTGTAGAGTCAACACAATCCGCTTTATCTTAAACCTTTCCTAATATAGAGTGTAAATGTGTGCATACATTTCACCACTGATTACCCTCAACATAGTAGTACCTGCACATTTTCACACACACGACATTTTAGTGCATGAGAAATAAGTGTAGACATTTCTCCTACATTGAAACCAAACCCATTGACCAGGTCCACACATTCTAAGTTGGGAGCAAAATTGTAGGATTATTTGATGAATATCTAGATCATACTAGATTTTTAACAGAAGGAGTTGGGAGGAGGGAACCTGTGTTGCCCATAACAATCCATACAGGTCTCTCCATTTTGCAAACAGATATTAATGCTATCCTTTAGGATGGAACCTTTTTGTTGTGATACAGAACTTAGGATGTAGTGGACATAACTGTTCTTGATGTGTATTAGTAGAATTCCTTAGTACCATCATTTCTCTCGGAAACCAAGTGTGTTCTTGAATCTCTGAGGATGTATCCGTAACCTTTTACTCCTAACGTTTGTAAGTTTAATCTCAAAAGCTCCTTATCTCTCTGTTATTGTAGCATTTGGAGACCAGATGAATTTTAGATAGTATTTTCCCCAACCTTAAATTATGTAATTATATATAAAAGAGTCACTGTAGAGTATTTTATAAGGAACATACTATTCTGATGTCTTTAACAAACGTATGTGAAAAGTGAAACATGGCTTTTTGAAAATTTAGACTATGTAACACTATGGGCCTCTTAGTGCTCCTTTATTTAAAATTAGGTGTTTGGTTTGAGGATTTTTACTCCTATATAAGGCAGATTTTTTTCAAGTATACTACCTCTGCACTCCTAAGCCAGCATTAACATGTACGATATATTTTTGATTATTTTGTTAAATGTGGCCTGGTGATTCAGTGCCTCATATTCTGTGGACACTAAATACATAGAATAAGTCACAAAATTTAAAGCAAACCTAAAGAAAAATGTAAAGATAATTCAGTGAGTATGCATTGTAGGGGAAACCACAGTTGTTAAAACGTTTACCTGAGGAATAGCAAAGATGAATAATTTAGAGAATTAAATGTTGACCAAAGGAGTTGGAAGATGTTTCTTAACAGATTATTAAATGTCTGTGTCTCATTTTTCACTTCTGATAAAGACTCTGAGCTCCTTGCTTACCTCTGAAAAATACTATGAATGGTTAAAAAAGTAAGCCTTTTGAACACTTAGATTTGACACTATCTTCCTAATAAAGAAGGAAAATCGTGTATGTTAGGAATTAACCTGTAAAGGTTAAGTGATTTGCCTTTGATAAAAGAGTCAATATTTTTATTCTCACCATATTTTCCCTTGAGTCAAAATTCAGTCAGTATTTGTTAGTTTTAAACTTCCATATTCATTCTTTTGAATCATCAGATATTAAGAAATACCCAACTGTGAAAAGATGTTCTTGTTTAAAGAATTTTATGAAAGTGGTTATATTTCAAAGATTATTTTTAAATACTCACCATTTTAATATTAAACTAGTTAAATGAACCAATCTCTCACCCCCGGCCGGGAAGAAAATCCATATTTAACAAACCGAATCATACCTTGAACATTTATTTCCCAATATAAAGCTAAAAACAAATTTTACATCATTAGACTTTACCCCATCACTAGTTGATTTAGACATTTCAAATTAGAACAGATTGAATTATGCCATTTTTGCACTCTTGTATTTTTGTTCCTGAGTACAAAATATTCAAAAGCAGAGCATAATCTAGGGACTGAGAAAGAGTGAAGCTTCCATCCTCCATTCCACCTTTGCAAAGGATCATTTCCATCATTTGTACGATACTGTAGGTGAAGAAAGACCAAAGTGGCTTTATATTCTGCATCTTCTGAGGGCCTCACAATAAAGGTTGGTAACACTGGTTCACCATATAAGTTCAAATACAGCTACTTTGCACTGATTGATAGAGTTTCCACTAATACTCCCCTTCTTTCTGGTCATTTGCTGTGTGACTTTTCAGGTGAAGATGGAAGAAGAGGAAATACAGCTGGAAGAGGTGGCTGAGTTTTCCCTAAAGTTAAACATCTCATGGCTGCTGCCTGCCATTAGTATTGTGGGGGGAGGGTCTACTTGCAGAGTTTATTTGTGAGTTGTATTTGTTGTGGCTTTAAGTTCATAAGATTTGTATTCCTCTTTCATTTTAATGTCTTAGACTGTCAACCTCTGGGTCATTTTGGTGCTTGCTGATTGATACACTTATGTTTATTTGCCTTTCCCCCCTGTGTGTGATTTAATTTCACAGAAAAATTCCCTGAGAGTAGAAGGGGATAATATTTATGTCAGACATAGCAATTTAATGTTGGAGGTTTGTATAATCTAAGAAAACAACTCTGTCCTATCATGGCTGCCCGGCTGCTGTGGACGGGAGGTCACGCGTAGGCTGGCTGGCAATGTTCTTCAAGCACGGTGCATGCAGTGCATGGGGAGTTCAACTCGGGAGTGCATGTTACCAGCCTCACGGTGTTCCTTTCAAGTGGCTTAGGCAGGACTGTATCTACTAGAAGTTCTCAAAGTGACAAGTGGGAAGGAAACGTTTCGTCAAATGAATCAAGTTTTTATCCAGTACTCTTGTAGTGGTTCTACAAGTAAACCTGTTCTCTCCTAGTAGGTTAACTCTAGGGCATCGGATCTGAAGTAACACAGTCTCATCCTTAATATATATTAACCAGAACAGATTTTTGTTTATTGATCTGGTGTTAAATCATTTGACTCTTGATCTTGATCTTTGCCGACTTTTTTTTTTTTTTTTTTTTTTTTGTTAAAATCCATGATTGGGAATGTGGTCCACTTTCAGTATTCTGTTTGAGAGTATACTAATTAAAGGAATTCTTTTAATTAGAAAGAAAGAACAAGCAAAAGTGAGAGAGAAAGAAAGGAGAAAAAGCCCAATTACCCAATTAGGAATGCAAAATGTAAAATATGTTCCCCGTGTCACATGAGAACATTATAATTTTTATTTTTTTCCCTTCTTATTTTACAGTAGTATGTGGCAGTGTATTCAATGCAGAACTGCAGCTCTCAGTAATCTGACTAATCTGTCTGGTTGCTTTTGGCAGCTTTGATAACCGATGGAAATGTATTTTTGCCTAACTTACTAAAATGCTATAAAGTATAAGTAACATTGCTTTGAACCAATGCAAGAAATGTGCCTGATCTCAAGCCACAGTCATTTTTCCATGCCATGCAAAGATTTTTAGATTTTCATGAGGTTTTGCAAATGGCTATAGAAGCTCATAGATGAGCTACTATGCTTGTGCATGAATATGGAATATCTAATTTTATTGGTTGCATGATCTGTTCCTTAAAGTGGGATGAAAGCTGTAATCCACAGGTGGCCCTATGATTTTTGAAATATAAATAAATACGTAAAATTTGGTTATAACCATTTCCTGAGCACTAGTTACCTTTTATTGCCACAAATACTATTTATCAGAGCTAGTCAAAAAAATTTCCACAAATAACCATTTATCAGGGCCTACTCCCATGAAAATGGACCTGGTAGTTTTTCTTGCATATTTGTCTTTATAAGGACCATCTGGCAATTGTGGGGGCTAGACCCTACTTTTGTGCTTGGCAAGTACGTGAGACCAGTCTGTGGTTCATTTATTTTATAAAGAGGTTAAACAGAAGCAGCTCTGGAAGCTGCTGCCTTTATTAAGAACAAAAAGCCACCACTGGAATTTCCTGAAAACAAACAAAAACCCTTGGCTTTTCCAGTTGGGGGATGACCCGAGTTTAGCTTTTTCTTCCAGCCAGTGTGCTTTCGGGTCTGCCTTTCTCTATTTTATACTTGATCTACTATGTTCACAGAATGCAATTTTAGAAGTAGTCTGAATCAGAAAGGTAAATTTGCTGGAACAAAGTCATAATCTGAGTTTCAAATCCAAGTACTGAAAGGAAGTGTTATTTAGCCATTTTGATGATCAGTTCCATGCCATCTTTCTAATAATGTAAATAAGATAATAATATGGCTTTAGAGACTTGGCATTTTTCTTGCTTTACTGTTTTTTTTTTAATCATAAGTTTACTTTGTCTTATTTTTTGGTTTTATTTTTGTCCTACTGGGTTCTTTCCTTTTGGATTTTTTCCCCTCTTTGTTACGTTACATACTGCTAGGAACTGGATAAGGCCCAGGAGGACATACTGAAACATCAGGCTAGCATTAGTGAACTCAAGCGCAATTTTATGGAATCCACACCTGAGCCGCGCCCTAATGAATGGGAAAAACGACGTATCACACCTCTGTCTCTACAGACACAAGGGGTATGTCACTAGCTATTTGTTGGCTCTGTCTCACTCTAGCTGTTTAATAGAACTCAAATTGTTAATCTTCTGTGTTGATTCTAGGGAAGTTATAAAATGTTCCCATTTAATTAATTTTCTGTAATTACTAACAGATTTTTTAAATACTAAATATTTATTAACAATATAATAGTTATTGGCCTAGTTCTTAGGCAAATTGCATGAGTTTCAAAATACTTTTGAAATAATTTTAGGATAATTTCACTATTTTACTCAGATAAATTGGTAGTCACGATGAATTGTTATATAAGACAATTTAGAAACTAACATACTGTGTTTAATAAGCTTTTTAGTTACTGATATCTGAAATAGGGAAATTTGCTGAATATAATTAAATAATAATTAAAGGATAATCGACTATATTTAGTGGTTTATGGTAATTACTGTGAGGCAAATGAGTTTAACTTAGCTTTAAAGACTGATGAGCCCTGTTGAAGACTTGAAAAGTGTTAGTAGTGAAATGTTAGAATTGTGTTTTAAAAACGGTTTTTCAGTCATTATATTCCTTTTCATGGTTTACTTCTCCCCACCGCTGATATGAGTACATAGTGCTTTCGGGATATATTCTCAATATATTTCTCCATTCATTGTCATCCACATCTGTGCCTCTAGGATTCTTCCAAATCCCTCCTGTTATTGACCAAGGACGTCCATGCCTCATTTATCATACCTGAGGAGACAGTGACCATACTATATTTAATCTGTAGTTTAAAAAATGATATAAAGATGTTACCCTACAATTTCATCTTTTTCCTTTCAGTGTCTAGTCTGGCTTGAATGTCACCAAATTGTAGACATTTGATTTAGATATTCTAGTGCTATTTTTATTCACTTTTCCTTAAAAAGAAAAGCTGTTAGTTGCTTTAAATTTCTAAGTCTGTGCCATTGAAAAAGAGAGCTCTTAAGAACAGATGAGCAAAAAGAATTGCTGAACTGAAAAACAGAACCGTTGAAAATATGAAGACATGCATGGTAGAGTCTTGTGAAGTTGGCTACAACTTCGGTTCTTAGTTTCAGATTTTTCTGAAGACAATGATGTCAATTTCGGCAGTCTATACAAGAATGTCATGTTTTCTGGAGAAACAGTGTCTGATACGTGCCAAGGTTTTGGCCTTCCATTAATGTGCCGCTTCTCCTGGTGTGTGTCACTGACCCACACAGGGTCAGTGTTTTATGTTTGTGTTGCTACCGGTGTAATGTATGTGTCTTATTTGTTGATTATGTCTGTTGTTTAAAACAATAGAGAAAAGGAGACCATCTTTTCAAGGATATTTTATCCGTGAAGGAGAAGTACCTGATGCCGACAACATGGACAGTTGAAGAAAAAGCTCAGGAGACGGACAAGGTGTTCACCTTGCATCCTTGGATCTACTCTTGCTTTTCCCCCTTTCCTTTTGTTTCTATCCACAGCCATAAGATTTCTTTTTTCTGTATGTCAGACTAAAATTTTTTTGAAATGATTTTTGAGCATTTAAGGAGTTAAATCCCCTATGTATAGAGGCATAGGATCGTTGGATGAGAAACACCGTTGCAGAAGCACTAGAAAATTCAAAACACCAACCAGTTTAGGTGATAAGTGATTTCTAATTTGATGTGTGTGGCTGACAGTTGGGAAACTGATTTCATGTGAAAATGCACTGTTTGGCCAGGTGTGGTGGCTCATGCCTATAATCCCAGCACTTTGGGAGGCTGAGGCAGGTGGACCGTGAGGTCGGGAGATCAAGACCATCTTGGCCAACATTGGTGAAACTCCCTCTCTGCTAAAAATACAAAAATTAGCCGGGCATGGTAATCCCAGCTACTTGGGAGGCTGAGGCAGGAGAATCGCTTGAACCCAGGAGGCGGAGGTTGCAGTGAGCTGAGATTATGCCATTGCACTCTAGCCTGGCTACAGAGTAAGACTCTGTCTCAAAAAAAGAGAAAATGCACTGTTTCTCTAATACTTATGCATGCTGTGTTGTTAAAATAACCACTTGTGTGCCTTGGATTATGAGTTTACTAATTACATATTGAAAGCTTTTGAGTTTTCATTTGTAAGATTTTTAATGGGAACAAAGATTTTGATGCACCTTAGCAGCCCCTTCATCTCTTTCTCTGATCCTGCATGTGTGACATTTCTGACATTGGTGAGAAAGTTCGCTTTCCATTGCTTTTACAACCTCATTCTTCTCTTTATACTGGTTTTACTTAGCCAGGTGGTCAGTCTTTTATTTGCTGGGACTGGAGAGCTTAGAGTCTAGTGGAGGAGATATGGAAATTGGTAATTAGAAAATTTTGTCTTTTTTTCTTTTGTTTTCTTTTTCTTTTTTTTGAGACAGTCTTGCACTGTCATCTGGGGTGGAGTGCATTGGCGCAGTCTTGGCTCACTGCAACTTCTACCTCCCAGATTCAAGCGATTCTCCTGCCTCAGCCTCCTGAGTAGCTGGGATTCCAGGTGCCCACCACCATGTCTGACTAATTTTTTGTATCTTTAGTAGAGACGGGGTTCACTATGTTAGCCAGGCTGGCCTCGAACTCCTGACCTTATGATCTTCCCGCCTCTGCGTCCCAAAGTGCTGGGATTATAGGCACGAGCCACTGCACCTAGCCAGTAATTAGAAAATTTTGGACACTAAGAAGTAAATGTTAAGAAGGTGAAATACAATGTTGTGTTAGGAGGGGGTTAGGAAGATAGTTTTGTTATTGTGGTCAGGAGGAGATGGCATTTGAGTTGCGACCTTAATGATGACCAGGTGGCTACGTGAAAATGTATCCTCGCATAAGGAAGAGCAAATACAAGAGTCGCAACCCAGGAACTGAAAGACCAAAGGAAGGAAAATTCAAAGAGGTCAGACCCTAGCTTATGTCACAGTCTTAAAGACCATGCTAACACTTTGGAATTGTACAGTAGGGATGATGGGAAGGCATTGGAGAGTTTTTAGGTGAGTAGTGGCAGAATCCCACCTGTGTCTGTCAGAAGTCCCCCTGGCACTGGATGAAGAATACATTATAGGGGCTGTGAATGACAGCAGAGATTATTAATCAGGAAACAGTGTTTCCTTTCCACAAAGTAGATTCTATTAATTAGTAGAGAGTACTCATTGGAACACATGGTGGGGTGCAGAAGAGCCAAAATAAATAGAAATTCCCTAAAGGAACTTGTGGTCTAGTTGAGATGAAGTATTTTCAGAACATTGCAAATGAGAAAGATAATGTCATGAAGCTACACCAAGTGACATATTTATATACTTTAAAGGCTAGCCTGAAACCAAAGCCAATTAGACTCCATGTGTATAATGAGGACTATAATATCACATACTTTGAAATATTACGTATTTTTGATAACCTGTCCTCCAGAAGCTATCACATGGTATCATTCGATCAAATTTAAAGTGATGTCCTTGAACTTTTTGCAGTAGGAAACTTTGACGTTATAGTGGAGATGTTTAAAATTATTACTGTTTCTCTGGATCTCATGTTTTAGGAATGTACAGTATAAAATATCTTGTCACAGAAGTCATGCTCAAGTGATATTAATGTGAAATTTAAATCTGGAAAAGCTCCCAAATGATTTATCTGTACTTGAAGTTACTGGTTTTTTTGTTCTTTTCCTCTCCAATATATGCAGAAAAATACATACTTACGTGACATGCAGATAGATTGTTCTTATTACAATCATCCATTCATCTGTGTGCCCAACAAACGCCTATTGACCACCTACATTGTATCTTTTTTTTTCTCTTCAAATAACATACTATTAGTTGAAAGTATGTGAGCATTTGTCTACTGCAGTGTTTTGACTTTAACAGAGTACCTTTTCAATTTCTGTCTTTGTTGTGTCTTCATTTTACTGTTGATTTTGCAGGGGTTCTCATTTATCTTTGAATTATAATTCTTATTGAAAGTAAAATCTAAAAAATTATGCATAAGTATATAATTTGACCATATTTTCCAAATTTCTATAATATGGGTTTTATAGCTTTTTAAAAAAGCAGTAATAGTTTCTTTTTTAAAAAAATACATTGAACTTCCAAAGTGGCTGTTGTTTGAACAATTTTGAGAGTAGAGCAAAAAATTGGAAACCAACCCATTTAATTTTTAATGGGTAAATAACTCTGTTGTAATCCTCTTAACATTTTGTATGCATTATGATGACTTAAACTTGCATAGACTATTCTCTCCTAAGAGATTATATACATTGTAACTTCAAGGCACTTTTGAAGGTATGTCATTGAATAATGAAATGCATGGCGCTTCTTTAAACACCCCAGTGATCTGTCACTGGGAAGGGCACCCCATCCATCCCACTGGGGATGGTAATGAAGCTATCAGAAGCTTTTTCCTCTCCTGAATATTGCAAGTGCTTACTCACCTCACCCTTCTTAGCTCAGTGTCTGAAGGCACCCCTTGGGAGTGTCATTGATTTTTCTTTAAGGTGTTTGAATGGTGGCCAGGTATGGTGGCTCATGCCTATATTCACAGCACTTTGGGAGGCTGAGGAAAGTGGATCACCTCAAGTCAGGAGTTCGAGACTAGCCTGGCCAACATGGCAAAACCCCGTCTCTGCTAAAAATACAAAAATTAGCTGGGCATGATGGCACATGCCTGTAATCCCAGCTACTGGGGAGGCTGAGGAGGGCGGGTCACCTCAAGTCAGGAGTTCGAGACTAGCCTGGCCAACATGGCAAAACCCCATATCTACTAAAAATGCAAAAATGAGCTGGGGGTGGTGACGCACGCCTGTAATCCCAGCTACTGGGGAGGCTGGGGTAGGAGAATTGCTTGAACCTGGGAGGCAGAGGTGGCCATGAGCTGAGATCACTGCACTGCACTCCAGCCTGGTGACAGAGCAAGACTCTTATCTCAAAAAAAAAAAAAAAAAAAAAAAAAAGATTTCTGAATAGTGGGGTTTATTAGGAATTATTCTCACACTCTGACATGAGTATTGACATTGCAGGTTTCTGAGGACAGTTCTGTTGTCCCTCAGGCAGGTCAGGAGCCATTGTTTAAGAGCCAGGCACAGCACAGTTAAACTTGCTTTCATGGTTTTTAGGGAGAGATAATTTTCACGTTGCTCATTGTGCTTTCAACTCCGAATTTGTCTTCCTATTTTGAATTATTTTTCTTTACCTGTTTCTTTTGGTGAAAAAAAGGGGGGGAGGGATAATTTATTTATTCTGTGGCATATTTAGCAAGCCTGAGGGAGTTAATGTGGGCTGCTGTCAGAATGTTTGTTGTACAGAGAATTAAGGTGGTATTGAGTAGGGAAGAGATTTTAGGAGCTGGAGTGGTGGGGGAAGGCCTTACACAAAATACGGAATAAGAAGTGGGCCCCAGGGAGATGAGAAAATTGGAAAGGCTCAGAGTGTGCAGAGAAGGGCAGAGAAGGGCCTTGGAGGCAGGAGTGGGAGGACTGCCAAGCTCTAACACAGAAATAAGCATTTCAGGTGGAGGGCCACTGAAGAGGCTATCCTGTGCAGAAAAAGGCCAAGGAACTGCCTCAAGAATATATGAAGTAGCGTTTGGGTGGGTCAGTTGTGCTCAATTTGTGATCAACCAAGCAGTTTTCACTGGTTTCTGTAGGTTGCAACTATCCAAGATTCTCAAGCAGGGTGGAAAAGCTGGCGCTCAGGCAAACCTCTGCATAAGCCTGCTGCAGAATCTTTCAGAATTCTCATCTTTCTTTCATTTTATGCTGTTCTGTTGTCCTTTCTTGTGTAACCTTTCCTTTCTTTCAGTAGGTCACTGCTGTCTGTTCTGACTTGTTGCTAATTCTTTGCTCTTCCTTTTCTGACCTCTCTAGAGCCTAGAAGAGGAGATAACATCAATTTTGTTTAGTGAAAAGGGCTTTTCTGATAGCATGAAAGCCACCTTCACTTCAGCCACCACTTGGACAGCAGAGGGCGCTGTTGTGCGCGCTAATGCACCTTCTGAAAAGCTTTCTTCCTCGCCCTTCTCACACTTGCTTGAGGTGCATTTTGCTTTGTTTCCCCTGTTACTAAAAGCCAAATATGAGAGATATTTTCATTTTTTAAATATTCGGGCACCATTCCCTCCAGTGCTTATGCTGGTGAAATTAATTCTTCCTGGGAGAAACATTCAAGAAACAGTGACCGAATTGGAACGTGAAGAAAAGATATATATTGGATGTTTCTCCTGCTTCTTTCAAAGAAAAAAAAAATCTGCCTAAATTCAGAGAATAATTTAAATCATTAAGTTCCAGAGTCTGAGATGTTAAGCAGAGGAAAACCCTCAACCAGATAGAAGCCAAGTATGCTTTGCAGAGTTGATGTTTTCAAAACCCAAATTCCAGGCGTTGTTATTTTTAAAATTCTGTTCATATGGAAATATCTGAAGTGCCTCCCATGCTTCATGAGATAATTGTTTTTGAATGACCCTGAGGAATTCCCTGAATTTGGGCAGAACCTATCCAGCCAACTGAGGTTAAGATAAAACAGTAATAGTAATTCACTGACCTGAATATAATCATAACGGAATGTGTGTTTCAGAAATGTTCTGATCACTGGATATCTTTATTATAAGTAGTGATGGTTAAATGCTACCTGTTTATCAAAATAGATTGAGAGTTCTTTTAGTTTAATATCTAAAACCTCTGAGTTTTCAATACAACTGGAAAGATAACTGCCTTCTATTAGTAATGTGATTTACATGGTATTAATTTGGATCAGTGAAAGCATGCCCTTTCCATTCATTGAAGAATAATAGGGCAGGTCAAAGAGAGTTTGTGAGTAGATGTTGACAGTGCTGCAGAGAAGTGTGCTGTGTTAGGATTTTCAGCTCATGGTTATCCATGTGTCTAGGAAAATGAATACAACCTTGCTGCCTGTTACAGGCAACAGCACCAGTCCAGTTAGCACTGTGGCAACTTCACAACAGTATCCAGAGGGCTCAGTGACATGATGCCCTTCTCCTTCCAGCATGGGGTCACCTGTGTGAATAAACAGGGCTCCTCACTCCAGCTGATTTGTTTTTAAGTTAGCTCATAGGCAGTAGTACCACCTAAATGTCAGAAAGTTGGCCATGCTTGAGTTGTATCATTGTATAGCAGACTTTTCTAAGTGTGAGAAAAATGTAAGGCTTTAAAAACAAACTCCTCTGTACAAACAAGTTTCCATCCTAATTAATAATACCATAGCATAGTAATTTATGTCACTCATGTATTCAGTCAACAGATATTTATTGAACATTTAGGTGCTATATTACTCAACTGGAATAAATTAATTTACTCCCAAGAAATAGATGTCTGCAGGGATCAGAGTGAACATGTCATGTAATAAACTTGACTCATTTTAGATTTCAAAGATGCTAGTGGAAGAGCTAATCTGAAAGAGAAACACTTGGAGCTACCTTTGACATCTACCCTAATGTACAGCGTAGCCTTTGCTTACCCATGATTCGAATTAGAATGTTAATAGCCATTTCTGGAATGAACACTTGCCAATTAAAACTTTTTTTTTTTTAAAGAAAACCAGCAAAAAATAAAAGTGCCATCTCCTTGGTGTTATGTTCATTTAGGAATCAGGGTTCCAGGCTAGGCATTATAGTCTGATTAAAACCCAAACTGTCGAATAGGTTTTAAAAGTTTTAAAATTTTTCCTTTAAGTTGATGAGCCAGCTTTGGCATAATTTCATTTTTTTAAGCCGTTTCAAACTGCATAGGTAGAGCCTATAGGTATATCTGTAATAAAAGCATTCTACTTCTTTGGGAGGATGTTGGCTGTTTTTGTGTTTCTGTGTCTTTTTGTAAGCTTTTTGGCAATTTGTCTTGATTGTCCTCTATGTGACCTTGAGCAGAGGTTTCTGTAGATGTCCATTCTTGCTGTTTTGTCTTTGCAGTGTCAGATGTTTGTTTCAGTGGTTGTTGAGGTAAAACTGTATTGATTTTGTGTCCTCGGTTGCTTTTTGTTCCGCAGACACGTGCTCCTGAGTCAGAAGGGCCTTGCACTGGAGCCAGGGATGCTGTTAAGGTTCTCCCCTTTTTCCACGTTAACACCATTGCCTCACGTTCCTCATCGCCCTCACGTTTGCCCCGCTTCCCTTTCAGTCAGCCATCATAATCACCTTTGTTTTTCTCCATGACATGAATCTGCCATCAGTTAATTTGGGATTCCATGCTTTTTATTTATTCATCTATTTTTGTTTTCCCTCGTCCATCTTTTTTTGTATAGAGTTCACATGAGACTCTGAATATAGTGGAGGAGAAGAAGCGGGCAGAGGTTGGGAAAGACGAAAGAGTAATCACAGAAGAAATGAATGGTAAAGAGCTATCACCTGGGAGTGGTCCTGGGGAGATACGTAAGGTGGAGCCTGTGACACAAAAAGACTCCACCTCCCTGTCTTCTGAGAGCAGCAGCAGCAGCAGTGACAGTGAGGAGGAAGACGTGGGAGAGTACCGTCCCCACCACCGAGTGACCGAGGGCACCATCAGGGAGGAACAGGAGTATGAAGAAGAGGTGGAGGAAGAACCCCGCCCGGCAGCCAAGGTAGTAGAGAGGGAGGAAGCAGTGCCCGAAGCCAGCCCAGTCACACAAGCAGGTGCCAGTGTAATCACAGTAGAAACACTGATCCAGGAAAATGTAGGTGCCCCAAAGATCCCTGGAGAGAAGAGTGTACATGAAGGAGCTCTTAAGCAAGACGTGGGAGAAGAAGCAGAGGAAGAGCCACAGAAAGTTAACGGAGAGGTGTCCCATGTTGACATTGATGTTTTGCCACAAATTATTTGTTGTTCAGAGGTAAATGGGAGTCCCAAGTGGGAGCCAAACTCTAGAGCTGCTTCTCAGGTGGGGAACTCCTGCCTTTCTTCTCCTGTCCTCCCAGTTCTTCAGCCTTTTTCAACAAGAATCTGATTTTTCTCTCTCATGGGAGGAAGGGGGAAGGCACTGCTCTGTGGATTTTCTGCCACCTCAGTTCATGGGTTCCAGCTTCTCTGCTGCCACTGGACACCTGTAGGGTAAACTTTCCTGCAAGCACCATATCCAGTGTTCCTTCCCTTTCCACATTTAAATTTTTCTTTGCATGTTTTGGGTGTTTCCAACTGTTTTGTCTTTAGTTGCACTGCTTCCTCACACTAAATGCCTTTTTTTTTCCCTGTTGGTTTAATTAGAAAAATGTGTATGTAATGTTGAAAAAAAAATGGTCACTGTTGAGTGCGTGTGCCCCTGATGTCATGACTGGGTTTGACTTCTTGGATCATTCTTTTACTCTTCAACTTCAGAGTTTTAGAAATGACAGCAGGCTGTGATTACTGTGATTCTCCGAATGCAGTATCCAGCAGTGATGAGAATGTTATTTCCTGAATGCCGCTGTGATTTCCATTTGTGGATTCCAGGATTTATATGGTTTGGTTAAGAGCCTTTCTATCCTTCCAGGCAGCCAGAGGCTAGGCAATATTTGATAGGAAGAGATCCTCTCTTCTCATTCCATCCTAATGTCAATTCTGGAGTCTTTGCCAGATGATTATATGTCTGATGGATTATCTACATTGGATATGAATCTTTTTCTTTTCTCTTTGAAGAGAACTTTTCAGACTTCTCTTAGATTAAGCCTTGGTCACTAGGTGCAGTGTCTCTCCTTTGGGAGTTAGGCTGAGGGAGAGTTTACTTCCTTGGGAATATTTCTTGATTCTAATATGAAATGCCTACAATACAGAGATTTATTCCTATTTTGTTATCTTTGATGGGATGGAAAATGTTGAAGTGACTTTGTCTTAAAATAATGAAGTGGATTTAAACCATGTTACTTTTAAACTTCTGTTTCACTTCAGAGAAGATTTTTCAAGAGCCTTTGAACACTTTGAACTGTTCTGTATTTGACATATGGTTACTCTTCTTTAAATAATTATCCCCGTTGAGAATGTTCTCTCAAAGAAAGTACTGCAGTATTTTGGTAGTAGTATAGTCTGGTGTTGCATTAATGTTAATCATGCATACTCGGCAGACTACAATGTTAATAAGCCGTCGAACCTTCCTTTAATGTTTTAAATTGTTCAAAGTGTTGGTGCGACATGGATGGGGTAATTTTAGATAGAGCATTTTAACTTATGTAATACAGAAGAAACACTGCAGGTTTTAGACAAGTATAATTGAAAACAGTAACACTCGAAGACATCCTTTCTGAAAATGGTGTGTCTGTTAACAATAAGGCAGAAAAGGCATTTTGTGCAAAAGAACAAATCCTAGCCTACCTAGCTGGCGTGCCAGTTAAAGGCAGTGAGCCTTTACACAAACTATGTGGTCCTTTAAACTATGATAAAAATAGAGACAGGTCACTTAACGTAGTTCATTCTATTTTCTTTTCAATTTATTATTACTTGCCCAAAGCTAAAAAGAGAGAGAGAGAGAGAGAGTGCGTGTGTGTGTGTGTGTGTGTGTGTGTGAGAGAGAGAGAGACTATACACTAGGCTTGACATGTAAGTAGTTTGGGGCCATCTTAATTTGAAGAGTAACATAATTTAGGAAGCCATCATGTCAGCTTATTTTTCATGTACGTGTATATACACATGTGCACATTCATATATATGTGTATACACATGTATGTATGTGTACATAAGATATATTTGAAGGGAATTTTTTCTTTTTCTTTTGTTTGTTTTAGATTATTTGCTTTTACTCTTTTCTTTTGTGCATGAGTGTGTGTTTGGATATGTTTCTTACAATTATTTGTGAAGGTTCCATTAAGCACTTTTACTTTATTACCTCTAGAATTTATTTTTCCCTTCCTTTTCCACCCCAGCCACCAGTGGTAAAAACAGAGATGGTAACAATTTCTGATGCCTCACAAAGGACAGAAATCTCCACCAAGGAAGTCCCCATTGTCCAAACTGAGACCAAAACCATCACATATGAGTCTCCACAGGTACAAAAGCTCTAGCCTTGGACTGTTCGAACTCTTTTTTCACTAAGTATGTCCGTGTTTTCATTCTTTCTTCTCTTAGTTTACACATTTCTGGCTTTAATGTAGCTTTTGTATCTCCACTTTGTAACTGTACTTCAACAACATAATTTGCTATTTTTCTCTCTTAGATTGAGACAGAGAGCTGCAATTCAATTGGCAACCCAGTAATTATAGGGGAACTGTACATATGATTATTTAGGACAGAGAGTATCAGTCTTGTTCACATTATTGAAAGCCATTTCTGGGTTGACATATCCAAGAATGTTTGTGTACACTTAGGAAACAAATTGTCTTGCAAGGTTTATCTGATAAAATTCATGGATTAATAATTGGATCTAGTTGTGGATGTAATTTAGGCTTCCTTCCCTCTCTAACTCTGTGAAAATAGACAAAGTCAACTGATTCTTACTTGTAATAACACATACATGCACATACACATTTGTGCTTCTCCTTCATGTGGGATATTTTCTAAAGACATATGTAGTCATTCTTATGTGAATGGTGATACCATGTGTCTAAAGAATTACAAGATTTGTGTGTTTGATTTTACGTTTTCACACATTGGTTCTGTAAAGATTTGAAATAAGCATTAAGATGTTTAACCTTAAGAATAACAAAAAAAAGGGAAAGCATTCATCATTTCAAAAGTGAATATACAATAAATATTTTCTTCACCGAGAAATTGAACCTTCTGTGGTAGAATTGTATCATGGTGGAGGAGGTCAGGTTATTGTCCTCTCAATATATTTTTAAAAGGTTTAATGCGTACACATATGAAACGTTTCTAAAAATTATTTTGGGTATGGCATCCCTGCATGTGCATCGATCCCACGTACGCACAAATAGGTTTCTTCTAAATGACTGTGGCGGGGAGCATTAGTCATGTGTCTGTATTGTGGTAAGTTGCCAGAATGAAGAAGTACAGGTGCATGACCCACGTTGGAAAGAGCTTTCCTTTCCTCTTACAGTCAGAGAGACTCTGTACCATCCAGTTACTTCCTTTTGTCAGTGTCAGGAAACAGAAGGCAAATATGTTTTGTGATCTTAACATAAACTATTATGTTATTAATTTGCTTCATTGTTTCCCCTTGGAAACTCTAGAACCTTCTGCATCTTTCAATATCAAAGCAAACAAGTTAACATTTATTTTAACATATGTATGGGGTTTATATATATGTATGTAGAGAGCACATGTGTATGTATAGTATTGAAATAAATGTGCCCATATATATGCTCACAACATGCAAACTATTGCAGGAACAATGTAGTTGATTAAAAAAATCTACTAAGGTAAGCAGATAACCAAATCAGGCAGATTCAGTGTGTCCTAGTCAGGTTCTGTTACATGGTAATCTGATAAAATATTTATCTATTTTTACCCACCTGTGCTTAAAACATAACAAACTCAGAGCTGCTGGTCACTGCGGAAACTTCTCTGCCTGTCTCTCTAGTTTCTTTTTCTAGCTTCTGCAAATGTTCTTCAGACAAATTCTGTCATAATTCCCTTGTAGCTTGCAGTCCCACCTCCTGTGTCCATTCTTGTCCGTTCTCCTCTTTTTTCTCCACTCACACAGTGGAGTTTACTTCTCCACGTGCACCTAGCCTTTTGCCTCTACTTGGTTTTAAATACCAGCCACTCTCTGGGGCAGTAAATGACCACTACAAACATGCAAACCACATAGATTTTAAAAGATGCATATTCAATGGGGTGGGGGTCTTCTCTGACAACATAATGGAAGTTAAGCATTACTTTGTATTTTTCCCCCAACTATCCAAAGATTGATGGCGGGGCTGGTGGTGATTCGGGCACGTTACTGACTGCACAAACCATCACATCTGAGTCCATGTCAACAACGACAACCACACACATCACCAAGGTAAAGCAATGCAGGGGATCATATGGAGAGGATGGTGCATTACAGACAGAATCTTTTCCGAATTGTTTCTCTGTTCCTGTACACACTTCCAAGTAAGATACAGACAGTGCCAGTGAAATAAAAATGCCTTGGTTTAAAGCATCCAAGAAATTAGGCTCCATTGACAAATGCATTCAAATCAAATTGCACTTTTGTAAAGTACAAGGGGGTAAAAATATGTTATGAGTAACTGTACGTAAGATAGCTACAAAAGCATAAATAATTTAATAAAATTTATAATTTATAAAAACAAGCTTGTGCTTCTACTTTTACTAAGCCAGCCTTCCTGACTAAAGCAAGTGAATGAAGGCCATCATTCAGAATTTTCAGCAAGTTCAAAAAATGTAGAATTTTCCTCATTTATTTAAGATTGCTAGTATGCTGATTTGGGGCATTCCTTCCTCTCTCCCCGCATAGTCTCTAAATGTTTAGCACTGGGTAACCACTGGTCCCTGGATCAACAGCATCAGCTTCTCCTGGAGCATCATTAGAAGTATAAATAGCAAGGCCCCACTCCAGCCCTCCTGAAACCCTGGAAGTGTCTTCAGAAGCTTCCAGGTGATTCTGATGCATGCTGAAGTCATCAGATTTCCAACTCCAGCCTTATTTTCCACTATGTCCTCCTGCTTCTACTTTTTATGCTGGATTAGTGTCTAAAGGTCTTAAAGGTATCCCCTGTGCCCTTTCCAACCCATGTTTCAACAACAGTTTACAAAACAGCAAAATTTTAAAATGCCACATAAATGCAAGGCACTGTTGGTGTTCATTTTAAAGCATATACAGTTGTTAAACTTAGTGATAAGTCTTGTTTCCTACAGTAAAATGCCGTCAGTTGTGACTGACAGTGTGCATTTATCCGAGTTGTAGAGGTTGGACGTGTGCTTTTCCCAGGACGGTGTGAAATTTGCTTATTGACTGTTTAGAAGGTCACAGCCAGATGATCTCCTCAGCCTCATCCAATGTGCCCCAGGCACTCTCAGCTTGCAGGGAGCCCAGAGCGCTGTGAGGCACTTTGGGAGCACCTTCCTCCAGGCACCTCCACAGCCTTTGTCCAGCTATGCGCCATGTCCCCATGCATGACTACTTCTGCAGGGTGTCATCAAACATTTAACAAAAATCTCACCCATCTTCCATATCTTAAACCAAAGCAAATCCTTTTTAAAAATATTGCACTGAATGAAACGAACAAAATCAGCAAATGAATTTATATGCTCAGAATCTGTCAGTCAAAACCATCGAATCATACAGAAGTCTTCTGTGTTGGGGAAAAAATATATCTATCACATTAAACAATTTCTCAAACTGAAAACAGATACCTAAATTGTTACAGTTTCTTGTAATTCTGCAAATAACTGATTTCTCCCTACTCTATTCTCCTTTTTAAAAATTGGCCAGCTAGGAGTAAAGAAACTTGGGAAATTATAACAGAATGCCCTAAAGGAGCTACTTGGATTCAATAATATCTGTCCTATCTTATTCAAGTGACATTAAGATGGGGCAGATGCCATCTTGAAATATTGATAAATTACTTTTAAGATTGCTGTCAGTTGAGGGGTACTTGTGGATGCTATAACTTTAGTAATAGGATTCTCTATTGAGCTTAAAAATAAAGCACAGAGTGTTTCTAGAATATCATCCTTCTGCTGCTTGGTGTATGTAGCCTTATGATGATCAGCAGGTCTGGGTGAACTCCACCTCTGTTTGCTCTGTGTAACCATGCATTTTTTTTCCTCTTCTTCTTTATGACCTTTAGACCGTAAAAGGTGGAATTTCTGAAACAAGAATTGAGAAACGCATTGTGATTACAGGAGATGCAGATATTGATCACGACCAGGTAAATAAGTTCGAGTTCCGGAAATGACCATGTTTGTTTTCTAAGTTTCACATTTGTCATCATGTCGCATACCTGTGTAAACCTCTTCTCCCAGCACCTCCTGGATGAAGTCCACCTCCTAAGCAGGCGATAAAGACACAGCCTGGATACGAGCTTCCCTGCCTCTGAATCAGCATAAAACACAGATTTGTCTTTATTTCCCACTCGCTTTACATGCACTTTTGGGTCAAAGTAATCTGGAGGATTTCTGGAAAACTAGATTCACATTCACGTGCACCTAGTTTAACAGCAAGTGATCAAATATTTAAAAATGAATGGCAGTTTAATGTACCGGCTTCCAAAAAATGAAGAAAGCCTCTAAGCTTGACCTATGCCTACTTTTAGGAACTTTTCAAGTATATTTATGGCATTAGAAAATTTGAGCCATTTACTACCAAGTGTTTTCTGTACATAAAATAGCTACAAAAGCATAAATAATTTAATAAAATTATTTATTAAATTGCTGTTATTTGGGGAGGGGAGGTAATATAAGGTTTCTTACAAAGTGAAAATTTACGTTGATTCTGAAAATTTTTTAAAAGAATCATGCTTCCATTCTAATGTTAACTTTGGCAGCATGCATGGCTTTGAGCAGGTGATGAATGGGGCTGCTGGAGACTTTGAGAGCAGTTTTAATTTTAGACTGCAGTCCCAAGTGATGCTGACAATTTTTTTTTCAGTGATTTAAACTCAGCTTTAAAGGAGACCAAGCTGTTTTCTTTGTATAACAACTTGAAGAAAAGGAAAAGAAATACTCAATTGACCATCTTAGCTGGGGAGTAGGAGCTAATGATAGTTACACAGCTTGGACATAATACCGAGCTCAGGAAAGAGAATTTTAGAGAACAGAATTTCTCATTTGAGAAAGACTTCCTATATGTGATCAGAGATAACTGGATTTTTTCATGCCTAAGAAGAAAATTACTCCTAATTTTTTTTGACCTTTGTAAGCATGATTTGTCTTACATATTCATAATATACTTTTAAATTTTTCTTAAGCATTATTAGAGGCTAAAAGGTTGCCTTGACTCTGGATTTTGACATAGGACTGGAGATTCCTAGGAGAGGATTAGTACACTTGTCTGTTTACCATGGGAAAATGAATGGAAAACAAACTTCCAGCTTTCCAGAGAGGACTTATTCTACTGTCCACTGGAACAGTCTTGAGAGTCCCCTGACCTCAAGTTGGAGCAAACCTGCTTCCTACTCTGTCTCTGGGACTCTTCTCAATAAGCACTCATTGAATTCCTAGAATATGTGAGGCACAGCCCACATTCTTTGGCATGGTGGAAAGTGCAAACTAGGGTCTCTAGAGTTTTCTCCCAGCCATTGCTTTTTCTCTCCCCTTTCCCCACTGAACTAGGCCTTTCGCATACTTTAAAACGCCACCTTTCCAGTAGTATTATACTCAGGTTTCACTTATGAATATTCTTTTGCCTTTTATAACAAACGGCAAAATAATTTTGTTATAAAAGGCAAAAGAATATTTTGGCCTGTTTCACCCAAAAATTCAAATCTAGGTAGTACTGCCTCTGAAAGGCAAATATTAGAAACGCAGTCTGAAATACAACTGCCAAAATAACACATAGCATCTAACTCTTAAAAAAAAATCATGATGACCTTGCAGCCATGGTGCTGTTGCTGCCAGGACAGGACTCTCTTTTTGTGTATATGAAGTGATGTTTCAGCCCTTTCTAAAACTGAGGTCAGATATCTAAATGAAGAGAACAGAAATTTCGCCTTTGTATGTTTGTGAGATAGCATGAACTTTTTTTTTGGTGGGGAGACAGAGTCTCCCTCTGTTCCCCAGGCTGGAGTGCAATGGCATGATCTCAGCTTACTGCAGCCTCCGCCTACCAGCTTCCAGTGATTCTCCTCCCTCAGCCTCCTGAGTAGCTGGGACTACAGGCACATGCCACCACACTCAGCTAGTTTTTGTGTTTTTAGTTGAGATGGGGTTTCACCATGTTGGCCAGGCTGGTCTCAAACTCCTGATCTCAGGTGATCCACCCACCTTGGCCTCCCAAAGTGCCTGAGATTACAGGCGTGAGCTACCGTACCTGGCCAACATTTTTGAGTAAACGTAATTGTGGCTTTTGGTATGCTTGTCACCAGAATCTGTTGTGGGTTCACTTTCTCCTTAAAGCCTATAATGAGATGACAGAGCTACGTAAAATTAAATGATGAAATCACTTTCCTGTCAAAATCTGATGTTGATCATGTAGTGACCTTCATAACATGGACCTCATTTTCAGTTCCTTGCCTACGTTAAAAAGAATCTTAAAATGGAAGTACACTTTCACTGGGCCAGACAGAAAAAAAGAAGTCTTTTTTGTGCTGGCAAATCAAAGAGGCATGCTTTTACAGAAACTTGCTTTGCAGATTCTTCACCCTGTGCTGGTCATGACACTTTCAGCTCCGTACCAGGGAGGGATAAACTACACTGCAGTTGCTCTTCAGAGCGTATTTCTTTCTAAGAAATAATTCCTCAATTTGGCAGTAAGATATGATAGTTTTCTCATAATCCTTATTATTGCCATAATAAATTAACATTTTTATAGTATTTAGTGTGCTGATGTTATAGAATGAAAGGGGTTATAACAAATTGATTTTGAATGATTTCCAGATGACTATAGCAGTTTTTGCTTTTCCCAACCTTTTTGTTAATTAGAGTGTTTTTTACACGTGTTGCCTTCCCTTGGGCATCACCTACATTTTCTCTTTAACAGTTGCCCTAGTTTACTGTAGGCAGATGATTGTAGTGAACACAAACTCAAAATATTTGATCATTTGTAGCTACATTTGGCTCTCACCAGAGCTTGTCCTTGTCTTCGGCTATTCCCAGTGTGGACTGCACAAACCAACATGTAGTAAATGGTTTGGATCATTCCATTCTCCTTCCTTGTAAACACACACACACGCACACACACACACACACACACACACACACACACACACTAGGACTGCTCTCCTGCGCTCACTCCTACGCTTCCTTTCCCTTCCCTATTCCCATTCCAATCAACACACTGAAAGCTACCTGCTCCTGCTCCTGCTTCATGCTAGCCCTCCAGCCATTCACTCTCCCCACTTGACAAACACTTCTGCTACTGCCCAGCTTGGAGGCTGGTTCCATGTCTCATTTCCGTCTCATCCCGACACAGGCGGCCCATCAGAGTTTGTTCCCTGGTGGAAATTTAAGCACCCTCAAGTGTCTTCCAAGTTTCTGTGCAAAAAATTTTTGGTATAAAAATGATGTCTTTTTTTTTGGTATCTTTACTGTTTTTTTTTTTGTTTTTTTTTTTAATGAGGCTCAGAGTTCTGCTCAGTAACCTTAGAAACTATCATGAAAACAAGAACTGCAGTTATCCCTTTAGGCAGCTGACAGCAAAGGAAAAAATTGCATGGCTTTTTTTCAGATGCATAGTTTCTTTATGAGATACGGTAATCTCTGTGCTAGTAAAATTTTCTCTTTGTTTTAGAATTCTTTCCTATACTTTTTTTTTTTTTTGAGACGAAGTCTCACTCTTTTGCCGAGGCTGGAGTGCAGTGGCACAATCTTGGCTCACTGCAGCCTCTGCTTCCTGGGTTCAAGCAATTTTACCACCTGAGCCACCCAGTAGCTGGTATTACAGGTGTGTGCCATCCATGCCTGGCTGATTTTGTGTTTTTAATAGAGACTGGGTTTCACCATGTTGGCCAGGCTGGTTTCAAACTCCTGACCTCAGGTGATCTGCCTGCCTCAGTGTCCCAGAGTGCTGGGATTACAGGTGTAAGCCACTGCACCAGGCCTTTAGAATTATTTCCTGGACTTTGAGTATTGGTCTCTGGTGTTTTGTTTTCTTCCCAAAGCTTCTTTAAAAACAAAATGAGCAATAATTAAAAAAGACATTTTCCTCCTCTGAAAAATAGGATCTTTCCATTGTGCCACAACACTTTTACACAGTTTACTTTCTGATGAAACACAGAGAAACTCTGATTTCTTACCACTTGGTCCAAGGAAGGGGCCATGAACCGCTGGAGTCCTCCCTCTGGGTCCTTCCCGCCCCTGTCCTGCTGCTCACAGGCTGGATGGCCTTGAGAAAGACCTGTTGTTCTTTGCACCTGCAGTTTTGTCAACTGTCAAATAGGGCCCTGTATTTTATAACCTGAAGATGAGTCAGTCTCTGTTTTTTAGCTTTACTAATTGTATGTTTGTTGCTACTGCTCTTTAGTTTTGTGCCCTAGAGGTTTATAGACATTTTTCCTGCAGTCTTTTAGTTCAGCAAACATTTTAGTTCAAACAATTACTGAGAGCCTAAGAGAACAAAGATGAGCAAGGCTTGGTCCTATGCCTTGCAGTTGCAGGCAATTGGGTGATGGCTACTATGACCCGAATGTCTAGATCAGGCACTATGCTAAGTAATAATGTAAACATCATTACTTCAATTCACACAGAAAACCTTAAAATCATCTTTACAACTCAGCATTGGTCTTGGATTACAGGTAAGAGTGCTAAGCTCCAAAGACTGTTTTCTCCAGATCTCACAGTGAGTATAATAAGCCTGGGTTTCAAAGCCAACATGTTTCCTCCATGTGTCATTATTTGAAAGTGGACTAGAGGATTGGGAAATGTAGGAAATGAGAAGCAATCTATAAAATGACAATGAGCTCATTCCAAATCTTGCTGCTTCCTCAAATAAAGAAGTGAGCGCCTCTTGGCTTGAGGTTGGGTCCCAGGTGATCACCGTGCGTGTATGTTGCCGTTGTAAGGTGGAGACTGTTCCGAGCTCACAGCTGTTCTCTGTCCTGACCTTGGCAGGCACTGGCTCAGGCGATCAGGGAAGCCCGAGAGCAGCACCCTGACATGTCGGTCACAAGAGTGGTGGTACACAAAGAAACAGAGTTGGCGGAGGAGGAAGGGGAGGAGTAAGTAAGGTAGGAGAGCCCTCATTGTCTGTGGCCTTTCTCATGACTGCTCTGTATTCCTGAACCTGTGAAGGGATGTGAAATGAAAGTTCCTGTCAGTCTCCTTCCTGTTTGACTTTCTAGACTGTTGTCATCTCCAAGTACATCTGCTCAGGTATGATCTCTGTCAACAGATGGTCGTGTGGTGTCATAACTCTGGTTTATTGAGGGGCTTCTAATGATTGACATTCCTATATTGCTTTACTGTTTATAAGTTACATTAGTTAATGTTCACAATGACCCTTTCAGGAAGGTGCTGTTACCTTCTTTGGTTGAGAGATTTTTATTGTAGGAGGGATAAGAGGGAGATGAGTTGAATCCACCCATCTCTACTAAAAATACAAAAATTAGATGGGCATGTTGGTGCCTGCCTATAATCCCATACTTGGGAGCCTGAGGCAGGCAAATCACTTCAACCTGGGAGGCAGACGTTGCAGTGAGCCAGTATTGCGCCACTGAACTCTAACCTGGGTGACAGAGTAAGTGAGACTCCATCTCAAAAAAAGAAAGATACATCCAAGAATGAACCAGAAAGGAAAATATTTCTTTGACTACATAAAAATGGGAATAAATACTTTAGTTAAGCCAATAGAAACAAAAGTAAAGGGTAAATGATTAAGTTTAATGTGCTTGGCAGAGAAAGGAATAATATCCTGAATATATTAAGAACTCTACTGTGTCATTAAGAAAATTTAAACACTTTTGTAGAAAAATGAGCAGAGAATTAAATGAGTAAACATGTGCAAACTAAAAACAATAAACAAAAAATCTCCAGCCTCACTATTACTTAAATCAATACAAATGAAAAATTCAGTGGACAAGTTTTCACCTGTAAATTTGGCAAAACTTATGTTTTTACCAGTGTTGAGAAGGGTGCAGGAAATATACTCGTATACTACTGGGTAAATTAGTAATATTGTATAGAGGACAAATTTGGGGCAAATATATCTAAAAAAATCTACATTAAACATGTCTACTGTTAAACTAGTTATAAGAATTTATCTTAATCATAAATATATATAAATATACACCTACAATGGTATTTATCACATTTTAATATTTATATGTGTATAAATTTATATTTGCTAGTATTAATAAAAGGTGAAAGATTTACACAATCTGAAGAGAATTGTGTAAATGGCAGATGTGTCTCCATCCCCCTGCCTCCCCTCCCCCTACAACCAACAGTGTTCTTTTTCTTCATTCTTGGATCTTCCTGTTACATACAAATTTTACAATCAGATTGCTGGGTTCTAAGATTAAATCCTGAAGAGAAACCAGAGTATTATACTTGCTAATATTAGCAAAAAAAAAAAAAAAAAAAAAAAAAATTGAAATATTCTAAATGGTCAGGAGTCTCCTTTTTGCCAGTTTGGTGAATATGAACTTACGTGTAACTGTGATTATAGTTCCCATTTCCTTCATTAATATCTTTTCATATGGTTTTTGGCCATTCATGTTTTCTCTTCTGTGAAAATATAGATGGCCAAAAAATTCAAAACCTTAAATGCTTGTTTACTTCTCTTGCCTGCTTTTGCTGTCATTCTTTCTTTCATTTGTAACTGATTCTTGATAGTTTCTACATACTGATCCTTTGTCTTTTTTTTTTTTTTTTTTTTTTTTTTTTTTTTTTTTTTTTTTTTTTTTGAGACGGAGTCTTCCTCTGTTGCCAGGCTGGAGTGCAGTGGCGTGATCTTGGCTTACTGCAATCTCCGCCTCCCGGGTTCAAGCGATTCTCCTGCCTCAGCATCTTGAGTAGCTGGGACGACAGGTGCGCACCACCATGCCCGGCTAATTTTTTGTATTTTTAGTAGAGATGAGGTTTCACCGTGTTAGTCAGGATGATCTCAATCTCCTGACTTTGTGATCTGCCCGCCTCGGCCTCCCAAAGTGCTGGAATTACAGGCGTGAGCCACTGCGCCTGGCCCTTTGTCAGTTTTATGTGTTGCAAATATCTTCAGGTTAGTGGTTTGTCTTTCATTATTAAAATAGTTGAATATAGTTGATATTGTTGAGTTTACCAAGCTTTTCCTTTATGACTTAATGTTCTTTCCATACTGTTAGGTGATAGAGATATTTTTAGGTAGAAATCTTAACATTGTTTTTCATATATTCTTAATCCATCTGAAATCATTTTTTCTAAATGATGAAAAGCAGTGGTTCATTTCCTACATAAGTAGCCGACATTCTACCACTGTATTGAAGAGCCCGTCTTTCCGCCTCTCATCTGCAGCATCATATATCATTTCTTACATGTATGGGTGTTTCTGACACTGTTTCTATTGGTTCATGTGTCTATCCCTGCTCTAGTGCCATAATTACTTTAGCTTTATAATAGGTCTTGATATATGGTAGGTGTGTTTCCCTCCTCCTGTGACCCTTCTCCCACCACCAGTAGTGTTCTTTTTCTTTATTATTTGCTCTTCCTGTTACGTAGAAATTTTAGAATCAGATTACTGGGTTCTAAGATTAAATCCTGCTGTACTTTAGCATTGTGTGTTACTCTGTAGCTCAATATGAGGAGAATTACATCTTTCTAATATTGCCTTCTTTTCCATGAACATAAAACGTCTCTATTTGTATATATCTTCTTTAATGTCTTTCATTATAATTATATAGTTTTTCAATCAGAGGAGATCTTACAAATCTTTTCTAGCTGTTGCTAGCATAAAGATATACAGTTGACTTTTTTATATTAATCTTATATCTAGCAACCTGACTCTTCATATCTTACATACTATTTTAAACACAGGGTATATAATGGGCCCATAAGCAAAATCATTAACAATTTTTATAAAAATAAAACATACAGTGGCCTGAGTAAATGCACTGTGCTGTATGTAGATATTGATCTTTTTATCTTTGAGATGTTTTTTCCTTAATGATTTTATTTGTTTTTTATTTTTTTTGAGACAGAGTCTCAATCTGTCACTCAGGCTGGAATACGGTGGCATATTCTCAGCTCACTTCAACCTCTGCCTCCAAGATTCAAGCAATTCTCCCTGCCTCAGCTTCCCAAGTAGCTAGGATTACATGCGCCTGCCACCACACCTGGCTTATTTTTGTATTTTTTAGTAGAGCCAGGGTTTTGTCATGTTGAGCAGGCTGGTCTTGAACTTCCGACCTCAAGTGATCTGCCTGCCTCTGCCTTCCAAAGTGCTGGGTTTATAGGCATGAGCCACTGTACCCAGCCCCCTCATGGTTTTATTATTATTATTATTTTTTGAGACAGATTCTCTGTTGCCCAGGCTGGAGTGCAGTGGTGCGATCTTGACCCACTGCAACCTCCACCTTCCGGGTTCAAGCAGTTCTCCTGCTTCAGCCTCCCGCGTAGCTGGGACTACAAGCGCCTGCCACTACACCTGGTTCCTAATGGTTTTAAATACGGAAGGCTGAAAGGATTCTTTCTTAGGAATCAGAAGACTGAAGGCTGTGTTTTCATCTTGCCAGATATCAAACTATATTGACATTAGGCAAGTCAGTGAATTGTATGATCTACCTTTTAACTCATAAGGCTTATTCTAAGGAAATGATAAGATAATGAATGAGAGAATGAGAAAAGTGAGCATTATAAAAACAAGGTAATAGCACAGGGTATTTTTTTTCTCTAAATTTTATGAATCAGTCACTTCTTAAGAATGCTACACAAAACTTGGTGACACTCTAAACATTACCAGTAGCTCCACCTTTACTTGAAGCATTTTAATAAGTTTTTAAATGAATTAGTTATATCACTTATTCCTAGCACCTTATATTCATTTTTACAATGGACAACACAGACACACAGCTTTTGAAGTTTGCCCATCTCAGAGGCTTTTATGAGAAGCAGCGTTAAACAGATTTAGGAAGTTAAAGTATAAACTTACATATAAGGTGAATAAACTAGATAAATTTGGAAAGACTGATTCATGCATTCAAAAAATATTTAATGGGCACCCAAATGTGCTAGGGTAGGGCTAGGTATTGAGGATTCCATGATAGACAAAGCAAACACGGTCACCTTCCTTGGCGGAGAGGATGTGTTCCAGGAAGGGAGGTGTGAATATTAACAAATGAGCAAAATGTAAATGTGATAAGCTCTCTGAAGGAAATAAAATGCTATGAGAGAGCAGAATAGGAGACTGGAACTATCACACATTTAACCAATTACTTGAGAAACAAAGTTTGAGTTTGAAATCTGAAGGACGACTAGGAATGACCTCAGTGTCTCAAAGTCATTTTGGCATCTCTACCCCCCACTGGCTGCAGCTCACTCTTAAAAAATTTCCTTTGCTGGTGACTGTCAGATCTGGGAAGAGTGTGTTTTCACTGTTTCAGCTACTGCCAGGATCCCACAGAGGCAGCAGGTGGGCCAAGGCAAAGAGCAGGATCAGGACAATATCTGAATGTCAAAAAAGAAGGGGAACTGTCTGCAATGTATCTGCTCCAGCTCCCTTTTGCAGGCACATAAAGCTCTCCTCCTGACCTGATCTCTGCCTTTGGAGTAGCTCTGAGCTTTTGATCAAGTGTTGAAAGTGGGGGGATGGGGGAGGCAGACAGAAAGATGGTAAAAGAATAACCTGCGGAGGACGAACCTCCCAAGTCCACCTTTCTCAGCAGGTGGTGGCCAGCTGTGAGGCAGAGAGGAGCTAAATGCAAACTCTGTTAAAAAGAAAACACACTTTAGGTAAGGACTTCACTAAATCTTTGTAACTTTTTTATGTCCTTTTAAGGACTACTCCCTCCTGCCAGCTTAGCTCAAATGCATATTTATGAGCCCTCATATGGATGAAAAATATTGCTGACCTTATTACCACTGCAGTCATATTCCCAAAGAGTCCCGATCAGGAGGGAGAAGGGTTCCAGGCCTGGTGGTGGTATCTGTGTGGCCTCAGAAAGAATGAGCCACAGGAGAGGGAGCTCTCCCAACCCAGACTTCACAGGCGCCTCTCTGACTCTTAGAGTAATCATTGATGTAGGGTAAAAAAGTG